GCTGTAATAAATAGAAACGAGCAAATTTGTTTCGTTATTTGTTGGATAATTTATATTTAAATATTCGTGCACCTGTGTTTTAAATGCTTTGTGTAAGTACGCCTGTATGCCCTGCGGTTAAATTGCTATACGAACTCGGCTTTGTTTGAAATTCGAATATTTTTGATATCTTTACATTACGAGAATTCGGAAGCATGATCAAACATAAAAATTTACCGCAAAGTTGTTATCGAACATACTTCTAAAGTTACTCAAAGGAAACCTCGTGTTTCACTTACTTCTTAAATTTCGATTTAAAAGTTTTTGCATCGCCTAAATGGGAACGAGATGAAGTACAGCTTGAGATGAGCTATGTTAGCGAAGTTAGTAAAGATTTCGATCTGCTATTACTGCGAAACTTAAAGTACCCTTAAACGTGTTTACAAGAAACTCAAATGAATTCAATTTAATTATTTTTATAAGTTAGGGGCCCAGGTAAAACCAATTTAGTTACTCCATTTTTCATTTTTATAATTCGCTCGCAACTTATCACTGGAAAATCTTTCTCGTCGTTTTTTTCTTTAAAAGTGCCAGCGGGACGTAACGTCGACCGTTTCTAATTTCCTGTTCAGTACACAGTTGCACAGTTCGAACAATAAAACTACTAGATATAATATTTAGGATAGACGTTCGAGTATGAAATAAGGGTAGAACTGTCATTAGATGTTACTTTTTAGGAAAACTTTTTATTTAAAGTTTGATAGTTTACCGTAAAGTTAAATTTTTCTGCCCAAAACTGTGGTCACTTTATTAAACTAACATCAGGCAAATAAACCTAATCTTTCTTTGAAAAAAAAAAAATGCTGAAGAGGTTTAATTTTTTCGATGTGCTTCCACTTGTTACAATAAATAAGACACTCTTGGTGTTTCCTCCTTTAACAAGCTTCCCCATTAAAATGTAATTACGTATTATATCGGTATTAGAACATGCATTTTCTCTATTTTAGTCCACTGATTCCTAGCTTAAATCTAATTTTGTTAGGATTTAAACAAAGTGAGAGAGATGAAACCACTCTTTTACAAACTCAATTGAACTTTTAAATCTAATTTTTCAACCCAATTGGAAACTTAATTAATTAAATTTACCTTCAAACTGAGCTCTTTCTAACTGAATTAATGCCCCGTTTCACAAATGATAATTAAGGTTAATCAATAATAAATAATAAATACAATAATCCATAAGATGTTTTTTATTTATATATAAAAGACCTGATCTATTAAGGATCCTCATCCTTTATAGTTTTGGCTATATTTTGAGCCGGAAAATGAATTGTCTGAAATCAACCGGAAAAACATTTTCTTATAGATTTTGGCCTGTAGAATCCATAACTTCAAACAGTTTGAAGATTGGGTGAGTAGATCAAAAGTTAAAGCCCCTTGAATGTTTTTTCGAATTTGGTTTTTTGCCTATAACTTTTGATTCAGAGGTCCAGTACGAGACGTTTTGGAATCTACGAAGCTAAATTAATAGGAAAAGTGGGCACAGAATTTTGGGATTTTATTCAATGGTCATTGTAATTGTTAGTTCTTTTTATTGCAAATTGTAAACTTTTGTCAGTAATTTAAGGGTTGTTATATGTATTCAATGAGTGAATGAAATTCAAGGAAACATTTTTTAATAAATTAAAAACGCGTAAGTACTAGACACATGTATGTGCAAAGTCTGTTATGTTATGTTAATTGAGCGGTATAACGTTTGGGCAACTTAACTCTCCCCGTATGAAAATGAGAAGATACGAGGGTTGTAACAGTAAAAGTCAATGTAGGTACCAAAAGAAATACTGGTTTATTCAAATAAATGGCAAAAATAAAAATTCTCTTCACAATGTAACACACAAATATTCAAAATACTCCCCTAAGGACTCAAAATTATAACTTGCGTTACACAAAAATCTTACTAACTTCAATATACGATTGAAATTCCCCAAGTTTAACATAGCCGACAGTCAAGAAGGATCGATTGCTGAATCTTAAAACAAGTTTCCATAAATAAATTGGAATTCCGGATAAAATGGGCCAAGTACAAATTAAACATATAAGGCAACTTTTACCTTGCATTAATTATACGGCGACGCCCAAGAAGTGACCTCAGTTCTCGCATCCAAAACTTGCAAGTAGTCAAAAGAAAAGATCCCAAGCCGCAGAGCTCGGTATAGGAATAATTGATTCTAGCTCCTCGTAATCGGAGGCAACGGTGAATTTTAGCCAAGGTTGCATAGTCGTACGTCAACAGAACGGTAAATAAAGCGTCTCTGAAGCTCGAGCTAGTCCTTACAGTGAATTAAATTTGAGTTTGAACCAAATTAATAACTAAAAGATCGAGTCGGAACTCCAACCCTAAAAAAAATCAAAGGTAACCCTCTTCGTGGATGCCATAAATGTACATACCTCTGCTTATGGGAAATCACAGATGGCGGTACTTGGCGGTACAATCAGGAAGATAACACGCAAATTAGATCGTCTCTACGGAGGTGAATATGTTCACTAATGATTCCAGAATCCACAATTTAATGAATCCAATTTGCTAGAGATTAATAAAATATGGATGATGGCAATTAAAATTCCATGCGTTCTAAGCTAACTAAAGAAAAATCAAACAAGAACGCTGGAACAAGATGAGGTATTCAGAGCGCGTTTTTACACTTACCACGCACTCAGGCGTTCGACACACAATTAAATAAGAATAATTAACAATTTTGCGGTATTCAGGCGCACCAAAAAACTGACAGCCTCAGGAAAATTCATTCTTTTTTTATTAAACTGTACTGACATGTCGAATTAGATTTTTGGATTTTCCGACGGTATAGCGAGTTACTTTGAATAACTGCCAAACCTTGTCGAAAGGCTTCACCATGCAACAATTGCCTGGTTGGCTCAACATTCGTACTAACTTTCTCTGAATACGCACAGACCGTTTTAAGATTTACTACTTCACTTGATGATGTAATAATTTAAATATTCTATTTTGCACACTTTATTTCGATACCGACGAATTGCGTTTTCACATAAACAGGCTGACTACTCTGAAATTTAAGATAAAGAAAAGGTCACGCTCTCGAACCGTCGCGAAAGAAAAGACCCCGTCTTGGATTGCTATGTTAAGCGATTTTCCAGAATCGTGTGAAATACTTTTTCTCTGGAATTTCCGCCTGAAACATTGAGGCGGCTGTCTTACCCTTTTGGTCGGAATGGTTTTAGTGGAGTTTTTAAAACAACTGGTGTTTAAAAATGACGTCTTCTGCATCGATCTTGTTGGAGGCACTGGAAATGCATGATATTCAACTATTGAATATCCACAAGTTATTTAGACCTATTCTCATAGATATTTAGATGGGCGGAGGGACAGACAGGCAAAGATTAAGGAAATTATTGAAAGATAGAAAGAGAAAAAAACGGTTTTTCATGTAAACGTACAAGGAATATTTCTTAATCTATACTGTACCTCCGTGATAATATAATCATGTGCCAATTAGCATTTAATGTGGAAGAATAATTACATTAGACACGTTCCAATGTTGTTTCCTTGTCTTCCTAAGAGGTTTGGTTATGGAGGGAGATACCTACTCCTTTTAAAAGCCCTACTAATATATTCAAGATAGTAGAGGACCAAATCGGCCTTCCGTTGTCCTATATGTCGAACATCTAATTTTCTGTTTGATAAAGGTAAAGTTTGGGAAACGCGTTCTCATCCTGGGTATCTTAAAAGTGGATTATCGAAGACTTACGGTCCTTGAAAAGGTATAAGATTATGGTAAGTTGAGTTGGGGTCGCTTGTTTTTGCGTATACTGCATTAATATTTTATCGTCCCTAGCTCTCGACGGTTTTTATTTATCCATGAAAGGGTCATCTAAATTTGTAAGTTGACACCTGTAAAATTGGCGTCGCCTTTGTTTCAGTTTATTTTCCGTGGATCGTGTTTAAAGCGTTTGAATTCTCATCACCAATTCATGAGGGAGTTCATTATTTATTAGGTCAATATAACGGCAGAATAGTAATATACTTTTGGCATCGATTATATCTAATACTTCATGTTAATAATTTATTCAGATCCTCGTTTTAGATCGTTATGGCATTTATTGTTCTTGAATTATTAATTAAAAACAGTTTACCTATTATTAATTCATATCATTTCAAAGTTTAAAAGCTCATTTTAATTGCTTCAAATTTCCAAATCGCTTTGCGTAGTTGCATTTATTACGAGTAAGTAAACTGTTAGGAACATTGTATTCGGTGCAACGGATCCAAATGGTATAATGCTTGATTGGTGCTTCAACAACCGGCCATTTTGTGGTTTGTCCATTTAAATAAGTAATAATAGTAACAGTAAAATAGGATGATCCGAAAAGGGACGATATACTAACTAACTAAATATAAGTGCATCAAAATAAGTGCACGCAGGCACATTCTTGCGTTCACCTACAACCTTAGAGCTTGGGATGCTCTATCTATATCTGTAGGATTTCCCCAATATCGTAATAGCCGTTCGGCTCCAGGAAAGATTACGGTTACTAAAGGCCGATTCACATTATCGATCACGTCAGTGTGAATCGGCCTTTATGCACAAGTTCATTTTAAATCTACAAGGTGTCATCCCGAATCGCAGTGTGATCGTATGATCGATGTTTTTTTTCCAAAAAATTATCTTTGAGTTTAGCGAATTGGTAAATTCTGCTATGATTACATTACCATTACCATTCATCAAGGCGATGAAGTCACTTTTGTTTTTAGGTTAATTTTTACCAATCCAACGCATTAGGTTAAAACATAGCGGATCTTCTAACTACAAATAGAAAATAACACCACTGTATCATACGGTCTTTATAGAGCCCATTCAGCAATGGCACCGTCTTCTTCTCAATAATTGAAATCCTTGCGAAAAAAATAAATGTAACTGTTTTTTTTGTAAATGACTGTGCTACCTTTTCATACATTGCCTAATCTCGTTTTTCTTTTACAGGCTGTGATATTCGATGAAATCGAACTCACCGACCTGTGCCTAGCCGAGTGCTCTATTAAAAACGTTAACCATAGCTTCCAGGTAAGATTCTTAATAAATAAGGTATCCTTATTTCTCATTCGTTTTTTAGCAGTTGTTTTTTCTCTAAATGCAGTGCAGTGCAGTGACGGGCACCCGATTTCACTAAAAGGCTACGATCTCCAATGTCAATATTTAGATTTAAATTAATTTTTAGTAAAAAGCGGATCAGCACGTAGTCAGAGAAAAAATTACTATCAAAACAGGCTTCCGCTGAAAACAACAGGACTATAACTGTCCAATGAATCTTCCGCAATCAAAAACCAGTATGTAATCAAGAGTTAAATCAAGGAGTCGTCGAAAATAACAAAATTTACTTCTGAATTCTGGACGTAGCGGCCCTCTGAATTCAAAAAAGCGCGTTCTGCAAATCTGTAACAGACAATAACATACACAAACAAATGAAAGAGGTAGTGAATCGCGCAGGACATAAAATATTGCAAAACAGCAACTAACGTCTGACACGGAGGCCATCGGATATCAAAGCTGCAATTAATACTCACTAGGAATCAATAATTTGAATGATTTAATCAATTCAAAACATAAACAATATAAATGAGCTAGTTCTTCGGAGTAAACACATAAATAAATAAGTAAAAATTATAGATATAGATCTCGGATCAAGTGTCGGTAACTTCAATAACTTTTTTACAAAGCAACAGTAGCAAATATCGGTAAACCAAGGATATGAAACGTGGAAATGCCTATGAATTTTCGGAGTCACACAAAAGTAATCGTCAGTAATGTAGCTCAAACCGGATCTCGATAAATATATTCTTCAGCAACGACACAGCTAATGTGAGTAAAATCAGACATATCGAAGAAATTTACAACAAGGTTTCGTATATTGCAGTTATTGGAACTATCTTGAAATCTCCAGGTATAAACTTAAAGTAGGCCGTGTAGGTAGAATATGCTGTTTGGTTTCACTGAAATGGCGCTGAAATTTGCCAAGTCGGCAATGTAGAAACAGCTACCGCGTTATTCGCCACTGTCAATCTTGTTAAAATGACGCGTTCAAGTAAAAATTGCAATTCGAAAAAACTTTGAGGGATTGAGTTGTTTATTTCCTGTATAAAAATTGCAATCTAATCCACGTACTGCATGGGTTGTAAGTAAAATCCAGGTAGGTCAACGTAAAAGGTAATCGTAAGGGAAACAAGGAGAAACCTTTAAGGTTTGACTACTGAGTGAAGGTATAGCCCTAAAAAAATAATATACGTAATAATAATAATGCTGCATAATAATAATGTAACATACTTCTTATTGTTCATACATACTGCTGTGTTATTTCGTCTGGCAGGACGAAATTTTGGGATTCTTAACTAGGATGGACAAGGGCGGTTTCCTAATTTAAATTTTTGTTTTGTGTCGTTGGTTAAGTACTTCAACAGAAATTATTGTTAAGAGAAAGAGGTCAAGGCTTTCTTGTTTACATTTTAATCTCATCTTTAATTTTATTGTGTGTTAATTTAATTTAAAACGCATTTCACAAATAATTTCAATAACAATATTTAAAGTAAATAAAAAATTTCTTCTAGCCTGAAAGAATTGTTGAAAGTTCCCATAATGCAACTTGCATTCCCTCTTTGAATTGCAATACTAATTTTCTGTTTTAAGAAAAATGTTCATTTCTGAGAATTTTATAAGTGATATCATTGTAAACGCTTGATTTAATTGACAGGTGGATGTTATTTATCGCCTTTTTTTGTATTTAAAAGACAGAAAATTCTATTTTTCCTAGTATTTTAATTTTGTGTTATCTCTTAATGTCGGTTAAAAATTGATTATAAAAATAATTTCTATACCTCTGGTTTAACGTGCGTTAGGGGGGAAATTTTCTATTGTCAACTGCTTATCATTGGCTGTTTTAATTTGTAATTTGGAAGAAGGGTTTCCACCTTAAATAGAACGGACTGAGAAGTGGAAGGGCTTTTTGCCACGGTCAACGCAGAACTACGTTTGTTTGAAATTTAAATCGCCTTTTGCCAAGTTGAGAGCAGATCCACGTCTGCAGAAGTTTGAAATTTGATTGGAGTTGTGAAGTTTTAATCGTCAGTTTTGTTGCCAGTTAGGGCAGTTTTTGAGTTGAGTGAAGATTGTTTATTTCGCTTCGGCGAGTTACCGCAGTAGTTTGGATTGTGTAGAGGCCAGCCAGTTTTGGAAGTTGGTGGAGTTTCCGTTTTACGGAGTGGCAAGCCGCGTTGCGGCAGGTTTGTGTTTCGGCAGTTTTGGAAGTTTGGACCTTCAGTAAACTGCGTCACTTAGGGGTGGTCGGCGCCGACTTAAGTGTTTTTTTTTGTGTAATTTTGAATTTTGTTGTTTTTTTCTTTGTGTACCGTATTTGGGATTAGCAGTTTTGGACTTGTACCGAATGTAAGTAAAATTAAGTCTTAATTTTAGTTTTTTTTCTTTGTAATAATTGTTTGTGTCTCTTGTAATATTTTCATTGTGTGTGGGACAATTAAATTTGAATTTTGTAATTTTCACAATAATTGCTGTGTATGTCATTCGAACGATTTCATTTCCTTTAATTTACTGTTTTATTTGGATACTGGCCCAAGGTCCATTTTATTTAATCAAAATTCTTAAGATCGATTTGGAATTTAAGGTATTTGGTCTAACCCACTATCTGGTAGAAATTAATGGTTTAACTGAGAAAAGAGTCGAATTCCTCCTCTATGCTGGGGAGAAGTTTTGTTCCGAGGAAGATAAAGGTTTGAGCTAGCTAGGTTTGTATAGGTGTTTTGTGTACGGTCTTTTTGGCCTACGGACACAGCATTTTTAATTGGCGCCCAACGTGGGGCCACAGCAATACAGATCCGTAAAAACGTTTCAATGGAGTCACCACAGACATCAGAGAAAGAAAGAGAAACCACTCCAAAGATGGATATGGTAAAGTCAAAACAATAAATCACTTACGGTAGACACGAAATCACAAAAGTAATAGCGTCTCGAGATGATTTGCGTGTACTCAGTGCGAAAGCTAAAACTTCACTGCCTGGAAAAGAAATATAACTGCGCGAACAAGATAAAAAAGGTACAAGGCGTGACTCTAATGACAAGACAAAGAACTATGTAAAAGAAACCTCTAACACTAGAACGGCCTCTAACGGCAAAAGAATTAACTAAACGAAAGATACCTATACTAAGATAATAATACATTTTCTACAGAAATTAACTTACATCTAAACTAGTGGATTACAACTTAAATACCTAGATGGCCTAAGAATATCAAATAAGCGCACAATTCAAATAGTTACTTAAGCGGGACAAATCGGTAATATCAATTCGTAATAAAATAACGTTACATATGTTATTTATTTATTGGTCTACCAACAAACTATCTTCGCCCTTTTTCATCCTTGAGGTCAACTCAGCACAGTACATTACATTATTAACGATAAACTAAATTTATAACTGTGCTTAAATAGATTTATTTACAACAATTTAATATTTATCCCTTACTTGCGGTGACAGGTAAGTTTATGACACATTTATAACACGAGCACGGATTTCACTATTTATTACTTCGACATCAACGTTAGGATTGAAACTAAAGACAATTCATTTTGCTATTTATTCTCTTTTGCTCTGAGATCTCGAATTTTAATATCATATTCTTTATCGCCGGTTATTAATTTTTGATTTACTTGATGGTGACGTGATGTCGCCTTGATATCGCTCTAGAAAATTTTCTAAAGTTTATAAATGTAGCACACCTGAAAATGGTGGCTTTATCAACTGAGTTTGGAGCTACTTATGAGATTATTACGACACTCTCTCTGAATACAATTAGTGTCTCCTTTATTAATAATGCGTATTACAAACGGATGCATTAATAGATACGAATTTTGCTGAAACATTTAAAGTATTTATACCCGAATAAATTATAAGTTTGAGATTAAAGCCGTATCAGCCCCAAACTCAATATAAATGTAAATTCCCTCTCAATATGTATAGGTACTTACCACAAACTCACTACCTTCCGCCGATTTGGTGTTATTGGATAGGTATTAATTTCGTAAAATGTACCTACTCTGAAACGAAAGTGCTCGTCTTTATAAAGAAACAAAATTGAAAACTGGAATTGCACCTCAACATACTATAATCATCGAGCTGCCAAACGCATGTTTCCCTTTCCGATCGTTTTTCTTTTCGGCCTGAAAATAGATAGATAAAAAATATACCTATATCACATTCGCCCTGACGTTCGCCGTAAAATCAATTATTTATATTGGAAAATAAAAATGTTCCATGTTACTTTTCATTAGTGAATTACTATCTATCAGTATATAATTATAATGGTTAATGCGGAGTAGTACGCACTGTTACGAAAACGGAAAGTTGAGATAGATAGTCATTGGGATAATGGATGGGGTAATGAAAGCATCGTAGGCTGAGACAAATTCTCGTCATTTATAAATGTGGCACTGCATTTTAGAAATTGATTATTCTTCGGCGTTACTTTTTGTTTTGATGTTTCGTACTGACTGAAATAGAGAAATTACCAGCTTCCCAAGTTTCCTTCGCAATTGATGTGTTACCTCTCCCGGGACGTCAGACAGTTATATTAAACATTCATAAATCCTGCTCGACCCTCGTTTGGTTTCAAACCGTTCTCAAACACCAGGTTCGATTTCCAACTTGGTGATTCATTAATAATTTTGACATGTACCGTTTAAAGACCAGCTTGATTATCTCCCTGCATTTTCAACAACAATTGCTTTTCTTTCAGGTGATAACTCCATTTCGTTCGTTGGTGCTTTGTGCCGAATCGCGTAGGGAAATGGAGGAATGGCTCGCCGCACTCACTGCCGCTTCGCAACGTCGCTTTCACGAGCCGGATCAGCCGGATTTTTTATCCGGCTATCACCATTGGTAAAACTTTCCGTTTGCGCAAGGAAGATAGTGCCATAACCGTTTCTACTTGCAGGTATGCCACCTCCCACGCACGCCCTACGTATTGTAACGTATGTAGAGAAGCACTGCACGGCGTAACTAGTCACGGATTAAGCTGCGAAGTATGCAAATGCAAGGTTCATAAGAGATGTGCTGCGAAAGCAATCAACAACTGCAAGTGGACCACACTGTCGTCGGTAGGGAAAGATATAATCGAAGAAGCAGATGGGGTAAGTAAGGTTATGGATGTTTTGGCTTCGGTAGGTCAGACGTGGGGCCATAAATAATATTATTTTGACGAGTTGTACTTGACCAAAAGTGTTTATTGGGAAATACGCAGTAGAAGTTCAGTGAAAAGCTTTAAAAAAAAGCAGGGTTGCACATTTAAAGCAGATTATGGCCCTGTATATCCGGTAATTCGTTAGGTCTGCCATTTATGGGTGTCAATTTAACTAGAAAAGATATACAGGAATGAACTCGGAATGGGACCAAAAGTGGTTCAAAGCATAAGTAGATTTGTTTGGTATTTGGTTTTGGGCCGCATTTAGAACTCAAGTGTGCGTCGAACAAGAATTAGTATGTAACGTAAAACGTGTCTGGAACTTGAACCCCAAACGAAATCAAAGGTGACCCCCCTTCTTTCATGACATAAAATTTTCCTACCTCTTCGATAAGAGGTGGATCCTTCGCGAAAAAATACATTAATTCTGTTTTCCTAGGGTGCGTTCTCCCTGGGAAACACGGTATATCAAAAGAAGGTACACGTTCAATAAACGAAATGCAATGTAGCGGTACTTAGATCTAAAGGGAAGAACGCATATAATCTCCACTAGGCAAGATCCCGTGCAAACTATTACTTCGGGATTCTCAAATTAAGGATTCAATCGCCAGAGATCAATTTAATTCGGACGACGGCAATTAGAATTCCATGCGTTCTATTTTACGCTTTCAGCTGTTTTTTAAATCAACATGTATTTGGATGCGGTTTACGAAGGACACGGACATGCAATCGACACTCAAAAATCAAGGCACTGACGGTTCTGCCCCGCGAAATTGCGTGGTTAAATTCCATCCATAGGTGGACCCATCTATCAAAACGTAATGCCTTAAATAATAATAATGCTTGGTAATGGAGAAAATAAATCGTTACATACGGTAGAAAGAAAGAAAAGTAAACCACGGCGAATTAATAAGTATTAAACGGTACTAATTCGTGTAAATTGTCTCATAAAAGCTTTAGGGTACCCTGTAAAAAAATGTTATTATTGACGAACCCATTGACAAGAATGTTTTTTTTTCTCATTTAATTCCCGTTCAAATTTCGATTTACATAGTCAGTGAGATTGCCCATGTAAATTTTAGTAGGTTAAAGTATTTTCTTGTGAGACAAAGTCAAGTGTATCTTTCACTTCTTCTTGGGAGTTGGGTGGGTGAATAAGGGTCATTAGGAAACTACGTAGCCACGATTTCTTTTGGGATAGAAAATCAAGTTAGGAAAAATGTAAGTGATATGGATCTCAATATATTCGTGTTTTTTTATCACGTTGAAGTATTTATTGCCTTACTATCGAAGGAATTGGAAATCAAATTCAAGTGTAAGTCTCAATTAAAAAGGAAAGGAACATTTCTCATTAAGATTAGCATTTGAAAACACGAAATATGTTTATGTCCGTGGGTCAGTAAATAATTTTGGTAAAACAATCTTGGTTCAAATTAACGTTAGGAAGTTCGAGAGTTTAATTAAAAAAAAGTATTAGTAATGATTAATCTTTAGCTCAAAGGATTCCAAAGCATCAGTTTTTAAACGTGTTCTTTAACAGTAAAGAATCCGAGTGCCAAAAACAGCCTACTCTCAAATGGATTTGTTCGCGGCGACCGTCGTGTGTAATCCTTCTTAATCGAAGACTTAATCTCCTAAACTCCGGAGCAATCCCTACCTATGGTTTTTGAATTAATTACGTCCTTTCAAAACGGCGCCTAGTAGTTAAGTGGTAACTAAGTAAAGCATTTTTAAGAGCAAATCGGAACTCGCTGTACTCCCCGAATTACACTTGTAAGCTTATATTTGTCACCCAGTCACTGCGCATATCAACCCCAGTGACGCTAAACTAGAAACTACACACTTCTTCACACATGTAAATTTACTAAAATATTTTGAATTATCAAGACTATTCTTTGAGCACCCTGTATAGACTCTACCTTCAAACATATAACAATGGGCATCCTTAGCGAAATTTAAGTTTAAATCGTAAAGAACCTGTGTTATCTCGCCCAACCCTTTCGAGTTTAGAGTTCCATGAAAAGGATCTCGTTTTAACTTGAAAAGGGGGGGGGGATATTGTACTAATACACATAGTGGTGATGAATAGATCCTGCTGCGACTTTTCAGTACACTTAGAGTTTGGGTACCCTTTAAACGGCGTTTGATACACATGTAATTAGGGCATGATTTTCTTTCTCTTTCCTGCAGTACGTCCTTTGTAGAATCAAACGGAAACAAACATGCCGCACGCCAAGCTATAGTGGAAGAGTGGCCCTGCATTCCGATAAGGCCTAAAACTATAACCAGAGACACTTTCTTGGAGTTTTGAAAGGCGGAATTAATTCTCCCAATCATTCAAGGGTTTACTGACCTACACAGCACATCTGGATGGCTCCATATCATTCAACAGTTTATTGGTCTTCAAACTAGTACATTCAGACAGAGTAGTTAGCCTTAGCAGAGCCATCATGCTAAGAACACAACATCGTGGAATCGCCTATCGTCCTAAGAAAACCGTTAGAAATGTTATTATTTACGCCCAGTACCACAAACCTCCCTAACTTCCACCTCATTTTGAGCTTTAGGGAGCACACATATGGTTTTTGGCAATCAAAGTGTCTCACAGGCATTTTACTCAGTGTGATAATGCCTTTCCAAAGCCCGCAACTGCCGTCCCACAGCGGTTTAGATCCCTTCCACTACTCTTTAGCTCAAAGCTTTTGATTCGCTTGTCATAGCTTTTAAGTAATTTCTAGGGTTTGATATGAACCTATTCAACCTATTAATTTCTAGAAATGGCTCTCTAAACTCCTTTAGACTTAAGAGTGTTCTCAACCTTTTCCAACGCTTCTAGGGATTTTTTTAACTCTAGCCCTATTGTAGCGCCTTCTGTTTTTTTCGCAGAACGCTTTACGTCATGTTTTTTGGACCATTGATCAAATTTACCGTACTGTAACCTCGCGCGCAACCCGGAGTTGTTTCCTGACCAAGGTCAGCGGTTTCGGAACAGTTGCAACAAGTTAATCAAATAGAAAACGATCACGCTCACTGGCAAACAGTCTAAAACAGAATTACGGCAAACGGAAGATCCTTTTATAAAATTTCCAAGATGCGGAAAGAGAAGGTTGGAAAATCCTAGGGAAAATCCGGCTCGCCTAACGAACTAGTATGAAAGCGCTCGAACACTAAAATTCTTTAATGAATTGCTTAACTCCTTGACGGGATAAAAATCCAGAAAACGAATTAGCGCGCTTCCAATAACATTAAACACAGCCTAATCAGACACCGTTTGTTGCAACGTATCTAATTAGCTACCGGTAATTATGTTTACGTAATTGGCAGGGTTGAAATTCAAAATTCAGTAGTCCAGATAATATCCATTGTTGATTGCAATTTTCGGATCAAGCGAAAGGTCTCTTATAAAGGATGAATTTTTTCCGATATTTAGTATGGGTATCTCGTAAACCGTAAAAGATAAAAGGTCCCTTAAATGGGCAAAGAATTGGAGATTTTATGTAGATTAAGTTTGCCTTTCAGAGTTTCTTGTAGCTCTACAAACGAAGTTATGGTGAAAAAATCGAAAAATGTCATATTCAAAAATGAGCCGGGGTGCATTTATTTTCAAAGATTTTGTAATTTTTTCTCAGCTTTTTAATGATGCTAAAATAAAATTTTTATCACTTGTGAGTTCCGAGTAAGTTACATCGACTTTCTTATTTCTTATGGACGCCATATTGTATTTTTATGTCATTCGAGACAAATTCATTTGTTTATTGTCTCGCATAGTCACCATCGACACGGCCATAAGAAATACACTGCAAAATTCGAAGCAAAAATGCAAGGTTGATTCCCAAATGAAATATTAAGTGTTTAGTATCGCTGATTTTGTAATTTTTTCTCTACCGAATGACATAAAATCCAATATGGCGCCCATAAGAAATAAGAAAGTGATAAAAAATGTTGTTTTAGTACAACTATCAGAAAGCTGAGAAAAAATCACTAAGGGTTTGTTAAAACTATTTGTTGATATCTTTTAAAATACATAAATGAACGCCAGTGCATTTTCAAAAATGACATTTTTCGGTTTTTTGACCATAGGTAACGCAGTTATTTGTGCAGTTAGAAGAAACCCCGAAAGGAGAACTTAATCGACATAAAATTCTGCTATTCTTTGCCCATTTAAGCGACTTTGTATCTCTTACGATTTACGAGATCCGCATAGGTACTAAACATCGGATAAAACTCACCCTGTATATTTACACGACGGCGACCTCGTCGTTTCAATCCTCATTTTCAACATTGGGAAAGTCATGACTCATGAGAAATAAACGGAATAGAAATCACAAAATATTAATGTTCTCTCGTCTTCCAATGATAGCTTTCGTGTGGTGTAGCAATAATATAAATATCCCCACGGGAACGGTTACAAAACTGATAAATTGTTTTTGTTTACTATCGGCGGTTGTTACGCATTAAAACAATTCCTTCTAAACTTCCTTGTCACCTGTAATATAAATTAGGTGTAGAAGTTACGGTTTTTGGTAATGAATCGCCCGATTAATTTCATCCATATACCGTGCGTTCAATAAAGCTAATCCACGTACTATTTTTCTGTTTTAATTCGTAATAAACAATAACACTTAAATTTCAGAATATCACAATGCCACACCAGTGGATGGAAGGAAATTTACCAGTGTCAGCCAAATGTATAGTGTGTGATAAAACCTGCGGATCTGTTTTGAGGTACTACTACTACTAAAGGAAGTACCTATACTATACAACTATTTTCAGACTACAAGACTGGAGGTGCTTATGGTGTCGGGCAACCGTGCATACGCAATGCAGACCTACCCTAGCTTCCACGTGCCCATTAGGTCCCGCTAGAGTTAGTGTAGTTCCACCTACGTCGTTACATTCTGTGTCGGATGAAGCGTGGGAAGTAGTACGACCTCAAGCCTCCTCCCCGCTATTAGTTTTCGTTAATTCCAAATCGGGTAAGTCACCCGCACCACTTGTTCGCGATGGTGCTAACGCCCAATTATTCAGGTGATAATCAAGGTGTAAAGTTTTTACGTCGTTTTAAACAATTATTAAATCCTGCACAAGTTTTTGATCTCATTTCAACGGGGCCAAGATTGGGTTTACGACTTTTTAGACATTTCGATCCATTCCGTATATTAGTTTGTAGTGGAGATGGTTCAGTAGGTTGGGTGTTATCCGAAATAGATAAGTTAGATATGCATGTAAGTCGACCACGAGCTCCACGCGGCTTTTTTGATTTGAGTAATTGCAGAAACAATGCCAAGTCGCCGTCTTACCATTAGGAACCGGAAACGATTTAGCACGAGTACTTGGTTGGGGATCATCTTGCGACGATGATACCCATCTACCGCAACTTTTAGAGAAATACGAGAAGGCTAGTACAAAGATATTGGATCGTTGGAGCGTTATGACGTTTGAACGCACAATCGCCATGCCTAAATTATCCTTAGATATGACTCAACCGGAAGGTCAATTGCATAGCCAAATATCTCAGTACGAAGACAATTTAATTCTACACTTACAAAACATTTTACAATCAGATGATACATCGACGGTGTTAAATTCGGCGAAAAGGCTTTGCGAAACCGTAAAAGACTTTGCAACTCAAGTATCGGAAAGCTCCTTGATCAAGGGGGACGAGCAGTTAAGCAAAAAATGTGATATTTTACAACAAAAACTAGAACAGTTATTACAAACCTTAACGAGCGAACAATTAGATATTACTAGATTAGAGCTTGATGACGATCCGCAGAAGACTTCGAAGGACGACACCGAAAGCGAAATATCCTTTGACAAGGCAAAGGTGGAAAAGGAACTGAGCAATTTCAACTTTCGTAAGCACAGGCGAACTTCAAGATTTGTGGAACGCGAAAAAGAGGCACTTTTGATGAGGGCAAACAGCTTAAAACGTGCAATACGAAGTTTAGTGGAACACACCGAGCAAGCAGTTGACGAACAAAATAAGCAAACTCTACTGACAACTACAAGTATCGAAGTTTCAGTCACGAGCGAGCTTGATAAGACAGATAATGGGAATAAGATGGATTGTTTGAAAGTTTTGTCAACTATCGAATCGGCCTCAAGTTCGGAAGTGAGTTTGTGTCCCACGCCGTCAAGCCAGACCTCGTCAATTATAACAACACGTTTGGCGACGCTTTCGCCTATGCCTGATTTCCGACGAGATTCCACGTGTGACGATCCGGAGTTAATGCAAACTTTACCCGTTCCTCCCGACTTTGCAGATAGCAGACGTGCCAGTCAAGTACATCAAAGGTATCTCTCACCCTTACCCAGTATCACGCAGTATATTAACGAGAAGTGTTTAAAGTTGCTAATTAATTACACCCTCTATACTGTAATGGCACCAAATAACTCTGTAGGGTGGGAAATGTTACGGTTTGTGGTTCAGCTGTTTTTCCCACGTCTAATTGTACAGCACTTCAATGAATTAATGATTCAGTCAGAATAAAACACATTACGAATCGTGAAATTTTTTTGACTAGTCGAAAGCGTGGATTCGCCGATTTGTAGCTTTGTATTTAACAATCGATATCATTTTATGTATGCTCAGAGAGCTTTGGCTAATGGCCTTTGCTTTGAGAGGTATCGATCGGTAATGTTACGCGATACGCGTGCTTCCTTCTTTAGTAGCAGACGTGTTTAGGGGGATTTTCAATCTCTTGACAAAATAAAACGTCCCTTATAAAAATCGGTAATGTTATCATTTTCACCAAGGTAAGGTATTGCCAAAGAGTAATATTCTTTGGTATTGCATTGGCGTAAAAAATGCCCCCCCCCCCAAATCCCCACCTTTATGACGGAAATCACGTTTTGAGGCACCAGGAATCCGAATCAAACAAAATCTTGATGATGTAGGTCTGCCAGTTTGTTGGTCTGTTTGTCAGTCCGTCTGTACTCTCGTTTCCTGCTAAATTGCTAGTCGGTGCATAGACTAGCTCAATCAAAAAAATATATTTGAATTAACTCTCGGGTCTTGGCATCCTCGTAAAGATCAAACTAATTTTTATTTTTAAGATGCTCCTTGGCCCAAAGAAGCCGGTTTCAATTAACCTCCCTTAACACAGGATCTGGTTGATAATAGATCTCAAAATACAACAGACTACGTATTTTACCAATCAGCTGTGTAGCATTACTCGCTATGGGGTTAACGAAAATTCTCAACTGGAGATCTGCGAAAGAAACGGTTACAACATAGTACTTTATACATACTTTGCAATAAATCATTATTTTTTAAAACACTGTCTTTACAGAATCGTAAATTCCATGAAGAATGTTACCTTTCCAGAATATGTAACGGGTAGTGGCTTTAGAATTTCAAAAGTTTTACTTACAAATTTGAATTTTGTGAAGATAGTGAAATTTCCACATGTACCGCTTCATAGTAAACTTGAACTAAAGTAAGTTTGGCGAAACAAGGATAAGACACGTATTGGGGAAAGCGGGCACGATTGCCACGATCTCTTCGGACCTGAAAGTAGCATTTATTCCATGTCAGTTGAAATCCGAAATACAGGTTTTCGATTGGAGGTTAGAGTACGCCATTCGAGACTAATGCGTTGTGAAAAGAAGGCTTGTTTTGGTTTTTATGTCTTTATCAGACATGATCTTGCCCACTTAGCGTCACTTTCGCCACAGTTTGCTATTAATTGACATGAAAATCAGCACATATCATTTACAGGTTAGTTCTTTAGAAAAACGAAGTCGAGTTTATATTACTAACGCCGTCTGTGTGTTGGTCCCGATACTTATTGAACGATGTGTTACTATTCTTCTTGGCTTGTTTCAAGTAAAATCGAAAGGTTTCCCTTCAACTTCAAGAGCGACCGAGTACATACCAGTGTGTGGAAAAATTGATTCACGGTCGACATTTTTAGCTGCGCTCTGATAAAGGAGTTCTTTTAGGATTGCTAACAAAGGCAAGTTCCTCAAAGTTGAGTGACGTCATTGGAAATGTTGTATACAACGGCATACTCCAGAGAATTGAAAGATAATTAATCGATGCATTTACCCGCAACAAAACCTAGTTAATAAATTGAGCAAAATTAATATCAACACAGCGGAATATTGACATTTTATCCTTGTGCGTAACCGCCATCTCGAGTATTAGTTTCCAACCCGGTTTGCTTGTATTCTCGACTCATAGTGACTTTTCTTCCTCCAAACTTTGCATTCATTATTAAGATAACGTTACCAAGATCGCGCAAAAAGTCAACTGTATCATCATGTTTCCATATTCCTAAACGAAATGGCATTTTCCAAGAAGAAGGATTATCAATTTGTTACTAGAAGAGACAATAACTGCCTTTGTGGTCGATTATTTCTAGAAATTTAGATATTAAATTTATTTAAAGTAATTTTAATATTCCTAAAGGAATCGCACCTAAAAATTATTTGCGTGAAACCGATTTTGTATCGTATTTATCGAATCCAAGTAATATTTCCTTGATTGGAAAATTGCATTTAATTTCAGTGATACCATTCCTTTGGTTGGATTGAAATTTTGTTTACCGTTCAGAGGTATCTTGAACAGGACATTTTACCAATAATTTATTATGTGGTCAAGATGAATTTTAGATAAGGATTTAATTTAGCATTGACACGAGATCGCGAAACAGGTATTGTATCTTTTTGTATATCTTTTATAAGCCAAATGAATAGTTGAAGTCGAATAACTCGGAAAGAAAAATGGAATTAACATATTCAATAAGACTCATATGCGTATTTATTCGAGTCAATCAGACCAGGACATTAGGTTTTGAATTTAAGGTTTTCAGAGGAGATACACTTTTAATACTGAGCTAGCCGTGAGTCAAATATAAACTATCATCTTAACATTTTTGCCAGTGCCGAGAGGTTCAATTTTATGTTACGCAAGACATTTTCAATCATATCTTTTATAGGCCCGCTTCGTCGTATTTGACCCGTACTTCAGTTTTGTTCTGAAACTTGACATTTCACTTCGATAACAAAATTTGGACCTACTGAATCTGGAGATGATCCAAGTATTGCATATACCGGACTTAATCGCTTTCCTCTCTCCATCCCAGCACTATTTATTATTATGTACCGTAATAATGTAAGGTTTTTTTAATTAAAAAAGTACAAAAAAAACACAATACCTTTTTACTCCCAATTTGAAAATGTCGTCGATTTACACAGAATGATAATCCAAAATTCCCCTAGGGCATGGTCGGCGCTATTTGGTGCGGTTTCTCTACGGGAAAACACCCCACCATTATGTTAATAATTTAAAGTCGCAGTTCGTCCCAAGTTAAGTAGATCGTAATTGGTAACTCACTCATCCAGCAATCGCACCATTCCACTGGATCACAGATCTCGGTGAACGGGTTTGAAATTTCTAGATGAACAATTCCACCTATTAAATGGATGCTCTTTCTGGGCAAGCTCTAAGGAACTCGTTACGCGTACGACCCCAGCGCAACAGGACGGTTCGATTCCACCCGCAGAATTTCGATACATCCCGCTGCGGATTGTTAACCAATCGCAAGCCCCTATTTTTATGTAATCTGGTGCTCAGCTTAACACTCGCCACGGCCCCAACGCAATTTTTGCGACTAGCTGTCACCATTACTCGTCACTATTCGTGATTAGAGATGGTGCGTCGCTGGTGTAGGCAATTCTCCGAAGGCAGTCCAAGTAGTCGAAGCAGTACGCACACCTCTGGCGAGAGAAAGTATAGAGCTGCCATTGTGGACTACTGCTGCAATGCTACTGGCACCGGTCGGTCCCGGTCCCGGATAAATACCTTTACGTTAAAAGAAAAAAAATCAGGAGACTTTCTGGATGCGCTACTTACAAATTCGAATAATTTAAATGGCCTAGCGACCTTCCGCTACGATGCAGGACCTTCAAAGGGTGTTGCAATCAAATAGTTAGCAAAGGGCCCTCGTCGAACTACCATCTTATCAATCTAAGAGACCAGATCTGTCCATCTGCCCGTCTATTCCTCGTCTTACTCGAGAATGAAAATGAAGAGCGATGTTAAACGTTCACCAATCGATTTCTACTGGAGTTCTATTGAATATAAGCCGGATTAGAAGTCGTGTTTCCGAATGCGAGCTGAGTGTCAAAAAATTCTGCTACTGAAAATCGTATGCAATTCTTCGTATCTTGTTTACCACGTAGGTAACCTTCTTTAACGTCTTTTTTTGCTAAGTGAAATTGATGCTTTCTTTCGATCACTTGCTAATTTTCGGATTGATAACTAGAAAAAGAAAAATGAAACATCATTTACTTCACACCTTGTTTGCGGCCCTATTCCACTTCTCAATCCTTTCCTATAAATCTACTCCACTCATTTTCCACGTGTGCTATATGTCTTTTCTATGCCTTCTATTTTCTGTTTTTTACGCTTCATGTCCCTTGGGTTTCCTTACGTCTATATCCGTTATTGCATTCGTTCCTTTTCTTACTTCTTTTATTTATTGTTCAAGTGTCCTTCTTTCCTTTACTTATTCTCTTTGCCTTGCCCCTCCATCATTCTTTTTCTTCCCAGATTCTCTGCTTTCTTCGTTTATCTTTTGAAGAACAAACGATTGTAAAAATATTGCATTGCTTAGGAACCGTCTTTGGACTTCCTGTTAAATTTATATCTCAGTTAGTTTTCATAGAAACAAACCCTAGAACAAACCCGTTTACCTAGATACATAGGAAGGTATCTATAAGATAAAGTTAAATCAAATATGAAAGGTTCGTTCTAAATGAGCAAATCAGATTGTCTATAATAATTACCGAGGTTAATTGTTTGAGTAAATAACAAAAAAAAATGTATGAATTTAAGTTAAGTTGCACTCGCAGTTTAGAGGGATACCTTCAACAAAAATCTTTAAGCAGTTCTCATGTTGTTCCAAATTTACATTTCTGAATTACTTCAAATTTTAGCTCAGAATCAGATATGACAACAGCAACATTAATAGCCACTTGTTCCACTCTTGCAACAATCCAAGACACAATCAACGATTCCAGATTAACCAAAATTTTAGAAGTAGAAACGGTACAACAAATTAAAAAATATGAAAAACAACGACGCGATAGTACAAAATCTTATGAACTGAAGGAGCACGACCATGAACATAAAGTATCGGACGACGACAAGGAGTGCGGTAGCATAATTTCGACAGAAGAAATGCCTTCCGAGGTGGTAGAATCGAAATCGTTCTGTCCGCGAAAGGGCAGCGATGGGGAAGACGTAAATGGGCACATCTACCATATAGACTCACCAGAAACCGACACGTATCCAAACTCAGAGGCCTTGCACGGAGAATCTTTGCTGGAAGACATGAGCTCCGTGTTAGGTCAGGACTTTTGCGGATTGGACCAAGACAGCATAGAAAATAGTTACACGGACGATACTACACTTTTCAATAGCGACCTGAGCGATTTGAAACTCGACAAACAAATAGAAAGGAAGAAGAGTTTAAAACGTAATTCTATCGACAAAATGCGACGAACTTCTATAACTAAAATTGACGAAGAATTTGGTTTCGAAAATCGAGCTTTCACGACTCAAAATATGTTGTTGGATAATCGATACGAAACTGAACCGGTGAAATACTGCAGCTTAGCACAATTTGAAGGTAACGACATATCGAGAAGGTCGTTCAAAAAAGTCAGAACAACATCGAAAGTTTCAAAGACCGAGGCAAACGTTAATCGACAGAGTACCCTAACCGAAGAATCGGAAAGTAGCGTTTGGGGATCAAGAACGAGCCTAAATAAAGCCGACAAGGATATGACAAACAGCTCGACGATAGCTCTTCAAGTACCCGAACCTGCGGAGAAGGAGATTGGTGAGCAAAAAACTGAAGACAGACCCCCAATTCCCATATTCCCACAAGTTATTGTAGAACCACCTTCGCCTGTGATAGACGAGCAAATTCGAGCCGATCGAATTGAAAAACTCGAAGTTACGTTAAGTTCAGATTACGACTTACAAAATTTGTGTTCAAAAAATGATCACCTGTCGAGTCCGAACAGTTCAAACTCTAATCTCCTCGGTGGCGAAGATCAAGTGCAATATTTGAGCTGTTCCCCCGCGGCTACACGAAGAATATCCTGCTGCAGTTTATTAAATCCGGCAGAATCCGCAGCATTGGCTGCTACTGCCGCGGCTACCAGTAGGTTCTACTCGGATATGGAAAAGAAAGAGAAAAGGGAGGAAAATTCAAAGAAAAATAGGAAACTTCCTATAATTAATCCCTTGGTGCGATTGCCGGCATGGCCTAGTAAGTATAATTGTATTTTCTAACATAAAGCACCTCAATCATTAACTAAAATTTTAACCGAATACACACACATCAATAAACTGTAAGTTGTAGATGTCCCTTAGTGTAAATTGCTAGTGTCCGTCTGGTCACAACCCTTAGCCTGGTTGCCTAATAGATCCTCCCTAACAATAGAACATTTAAAAAGCATGAGAAACTGCGCGTAGGCTACCAATGTCTGCATGAATTTCACCAATCAAAATCGCTTAGATTCGCGCTTTGTAAACTTACAATAGCATTCCCATGTAAAAACAGAACTTATTAAAGTCATAGTTGGCAAATTTACAATAAAACTTTTTTCAGACGTTAGCACTGGTGCGGGTTTTATAAGTAAATGTCTTCTAGCCAATGCGGATACGTTATGTGCCGCTGTCGGCCCTCTTATGGATCCGGACGAGTCGCTAATGGAAGGGTTTTTCGAACGTTGCGTGATGAATAACTATTTTGGAATAGGCATCGACGCTAAAATTTCGTTAGATTTTCATCATAAGCGCGAGGAGCACCCGGAAAAATGTCGATCTAGAGCTAAAAACTATATGTGGTACGGTGTGCTGGGCAGCAAACAGTTTTTGCAAAAGACGTACAAAAATTTGGGACAAAGAGTTCAATTAGAGTGCGATGGTCAAAGAATTCCGCTGCCCAGTTTGCAAGGGATTGTTATTTTGAATATTCCTAGGTAAAGGTGAGCTTTTGTGTCATTTTATTTATTCCGCTTTGCAGTTTTATGGGGGGAACCAATTTTTGGGGGGGCTCCAAAGAGGATGACATTTTCTTGGCGCCTTCGTTTGATGACAAAATACTGGAGGTGGTAGCAGTGTTTGGGTCCGTGCAAATGGCTGCCTCTCGTTTGATCAACCTCCAACATCATCGCATTGCGCAGTGTCAAAGTATTCAAATCAACATATTAGGTGAGTTGTTAAGTGTACACTGTTGCCAAACTTAATTTCCACTGTAGGTGACGAAGGGGTGCCAATTCAAGTTGATGGAGAGGCATGGGTGCAACCGCCTGGTATAATAAGAATTTTGCATAAAAATCGCATGCAAATGTTATGTCGTAATCGGGCTCTTGAATCCTCACTAAAAACCTGGGAGGAGAAGCAGAGACAGAGCATTGCAATTCAAGAAAAACGTAACTCAATATCTCACGACAAAGGCCGATACAGCCTCACACGTCAAAGTATGCCTGTGCACGAGAATAAATCTCTGCTAACAGTTCCCCGTGATAAACGGCAGCACTCATTTAGTGGTGTGGTACCCGTGCTTGAAAGGTCCCCATCCATACTCATGGAAAAGCGTCCCAGTATGATCGAGCCGGAAATTCTGTTCACCGACGAAGAAAGATTCCTACTGATCAGTTTTATAGAATGCGCCACTAATCTGACGAAGTGGATTAAGCTTCTCGCCATCAGTTATACGTTGGAGGTTGATTTATACTCGCATGCCACCAAAACGGACTTGTGCCTCGAGAAAATTCATCCAAACGGAAAGATCATAGAAGGGCCCAGTTTAAGGGTCCAGTTTACCAAACTAGTTGGTGTAGTAAAAGAATTGTATGAAGAAAGCTGCTGTCTTTTGCACGATCGCGGTCACAAGTTAAAATTAAGGGAGGATTTAGAAAATAAGCTTAGTATGAGCTTGGCCAATATGGAAATGGAATTAAGAAAATGTTTTATGTATGAATCAACTACTGGAAGTATGGTTTATTTGCAGGTCATTCAGGAAGATCATGTAAGTATGCATCTTTATATACGAAAGTGCCAAAAATATGACTTTTTCATTCGGCGCGCAAAAATATACAGAAATGAGATTTTTTTATTTATAACAAGCACTCACCAATTCCATCCAATCCATTAGCGATTAAGGTAAATTTGATCTTCTTTCAGAAAAACCTCAAATTAATGCCATTTAGTTGTTTCATAATCGGTTAGTAATATCTGAATCTGAATTTCTCGTCGCTGCTTTGTCGTCGCCTTCAAAATTAACATTTACATATACGTTCCCGCACCTCCTTTACATCTTCATTAATTATTCCACGTTTCCTTAGCGACTCTTTCACGCTTCTTTTTCCTTTCGGTGCAATCTCCCTCCTACACGGTTTTTTCGTACTTTTTCTTTCGACTTCGAAATTAGGAAATATGATCAAAATCAATAAAATTAATCAAAATCAAAAAGTGTATTACGATGATCATATGTTTCAAGTTCATTAAAAAAATTCCTGCACTGTAATTATGATTTTTCCATATCCAAATGACCGAAATCAACAATTCAAGGTTAGTGTCTATATTTTTGTTTTACAAAATCTAGGGATATTATCATTTATTATTTAGTACGTTTTAGATAAGAATAGGAGCAGTGGAAAGAGGATTTAGGTTTCCAACGTTTACGAAAAAAATTAATCGAGACAATTACTTTCAGGGCGAAAGGAAACGAAAAGGTTTGTTCTGGTTGAAATTCCGTACCAGAGGAGTTGGATCGTTCGGCCAGCAGCAGTCATCGTGTAAAACTGCCAGAGATGTGGCCTCGTGGGGAACGCAGGAGGTAGCAACGTGGCTAGAAACCTTGCAATTATCGGAGTACATTGACAGTTTTGTTAAGAATGATATTAGGGGTAGAGAATTGCTGGGTCTTGCTCGAAGAGATCTAAAAGATTTAGGGGTAACAAAAGTAGGTCACGTGAAGAGAATCCTACAAGCCATTAAGGATTTGACACAAAGTAATTAACTCTCCATTCCCCGCGTACACACTTAATCAGATTATTTTCCTACAACCCAATGGTCCTACGGCCACACCATTATACGTTATCCATTTTAAGAGTTTAAAATTTGCTGTGATTTTAAATTATATAATATATAAGAAGGATTTAGATAGTTACATGTGTTAAACCTCTTATCAATTAATCTTATTAACTTCAGTTAATTGAATACGCTTATACGTGAAGCCTTCAAGGCGCTAAATTAATAGTATTACTATCAATAAACTCTTCTTAAGAAGTGAATATTTTAACTCATATTCTAAACTCAAAGCAATTGTCTATTCCTAGCAATACCTTTACCTAACTGTTTTTTCTAACTTGTTCATCACGTCACTAATTTTGTCTTCGTCTCGTTTAATATTTAAAAAAACTACATGCCCAAACAAAGTATGAGTACGCATACTTAGGTACACATTCACTGCACTTTTCAAACGGGTGTACGTCACAAACAATTCGGGAGTATCAATGGCTCCTTGAACATTCAAAAATTGTACAGTCATAAGAACCCTACATTTGTTCATTAGTACTGCCAAGCTTTGCCATTTTTCCATACTTTCTTGCGTTTGAAAGAGAATTCCAAATGTATGGTGTCAGTAGGTGTCTACCCCTAAATCACTGGACTGTCTGACAATCTTTAACACATAATATCGATGCAAATGTAGTATACAAAGTATACTGCGACCAAAGTGACCTTACTACTACTGCTTTATTTTGCATTACGTAAAAGTGCCGTCATTCAACTTTTTCGTTACATCAGCGTTAATTGTAGAATGTGTACTTAATTGCCATTGCTACTCGGGGGGGGTACAAAATTATAGTAGCTAAATAATCAAGTTAGTAACCACAATTTTCATTCTTCTCTCTGATAAATTTCAGGCAATGTGTCTATTACACATCTTCAATAAGACATTTGCTAGTCCCATTGTTGATGAAAGGAAGAGATTTGAATCGAACTTACTGAGCAGCAACTACACCTATGAACTAAGTATTATTCGTTTAAAAAAGTGTGGCTAATATCCTGTTGGGCATCCAAAATCTGAAATGGGTTTAAATTGTAAAAAAAAGCTGTTTATTTTCTTCATATGTAGAAGAGCTACAATTGGAAAACACTCCAAACTGGATGGTAACATTTGTGGCAATCCTTTTGAATCGCAAATCAATGAAGTGATTTTTCGTTTTAAGCCAATACTTAACTGTCATTAGACTCTGAGGCGTCCTCGTATTCCTAACTCGGAGTTAGCTAAAACGTAAGACATGCCGCTTTATCCCAACCTTTGTAGTTAAGCCTACAAGGTATAATGGAATTCTACATCTATCAAATTGTGAAACTTCATTACTTGATTGGGTAACACTGTACTGATTATACATTTTGGCTATGTTGAAAAGGATGCCTCTTAACAAACTCTTATACTGGAAAAGTTCTGGCAGTATTCTGCATAACATAACTACCATCCTCCCCAAAAATTCTAAATGTATCATACCAATACACACAATGAAGTACTGGCATTGATAATCATTGTACATTGCCTTCTAGACGTTAGCCATTACCAATCATTTGCTTGCTTAGTAAGTAGATAAAAGTATAGAGGTATTAGTATTAGTGATATTATTAAACTGTTTTAACGTTGGTAATAGATCGTAGTCAATTATTGCGTGTTGTTTTGTAAAAATTCAATATCAATTATCATCATTTTATCCCCACAGTTATTTCGTAATTCTGTGATAAGTACAATTACGTCATTCTCCAGTTGGCTTGGTAATACGCAGGATTATCCTGGTAATACTGAAACATATCCATATTAATCGTGGTCATACTTCCTTCTTTCTTCTTTCGGCATCTTTCTTGACACATGTCTCATGCAACTAGATTAAAATCATCCACTCGTTGTAAGCATATATCTTATGAAAACCATTCAAAGGTTTTTATATTTGTTATACCTATGAATAAAATACAAATATATAAACTGTTAATTGTTTGATATTATTTCGGAATCTCTTTATCTAAGATATTGTTGACACTTTTCATTGTTGTAACAATGTTTATATTATCAGAGTAATATATTATATTTAGTATATGCACGTACTCGTGAAACATATTTGTAGTTATAGGAAACATCAAGATTAGTTGTAAGTTAACATTTAGCACCCTCATTGATTATACAGGGCGTTATATCTTAGATTCATTCTTTTCGGAAAAAAAAACGACCATATGCGACCAAAAATACCCGTAAATACCTACATACAAAGAATGTACATGATATTGGCTATGAAAAAAGATGAATCTTAGATAAGATTACCTACCTTTACCTTGCTATCTAACTTTGGTTGATTAAGTTTGAACTGACAACTTATTTGAAAAATGTGTACACCCGAGGACCAACGCTTAAAAAATTCGTATTAGAAATAAAATACTTTGGAGCAATTGTGTAAGCATTGAGATATTTATATAGACTATTGTACACAAATAAAAACAAATGAAAAGTTTAAACAAAATTCTTATTGGAATTACAATCAAACCTGTGATATACAGATTAGTTTGAATGGAACGAGAGCAATATTATTTTATATTTCACCATTTTCTTTTCCCGAACAGAGTAAATGTTACGTACTTCTTTTTACTTACGGGTCCAATTTATAATTTTTACTACAAATGTTACCGGTTTAGTTAGTGTAGGTTTTAGATTTAGATACTGTAATCTAACTATTGTTTATGATATTTGTTAATGTATGTTTGCGAGTGTAACAAGCAACTCCTCGATATTTATAAGTCATTTCTGCCACACACTTGGACCTTCCTGAAATAAAATAATTTCTCATAGCCGATTTAATTTATTTGAGCAGCTTTATCTTGCCGGTCTAGAAAATCTGCTTGTATTCCTTTTAAACACTACTACACTACACTACTTAAAATTCCCGTCAAGTTCCTCATAAGCTTCCCTCAAGTCTCTAACATCAAGTTCCTCTCACGTTTAGGTACCTCTTAAATCCGTCACCTTAAGCGCCCTCAAGATTATCTGTTTTCTAATTCCATTTTTAGTTCCGTTTTCAGTTCTTCAGTTCATGATGACCAGATCAAAAAAAAGATCGAAAGAGTTTACTTTTCAGAACCAATACCTACCGTAATTCCTTTCATTCAAAAAAGTTACCGAGAACCGAAACCTGTAATTTCTGGGGTAGGTTATCGAATGATCGCGATTGTGTCCGAAAGGTAGGTACCACCTTTTAGTCGTTAGAAAAGGTTTCATGTGTGATCCCTAATTGAAAATTGAGATGGTCAACATCCGAAGCATTCGAATTGATATTATGCTAAATAAACTACAGCTAACATTATATTTTTCGGAACCTTTGGAAACCATAATTGCCTTGGCTGAAATAGAGCAGCCTTGGCGGAAACCCCGCCCACACAAACAAAGGCAAAAACAAACAAAATATTTCTCTCTGATTTCTTGACGCATTTCTTCTTCTCTGCTGGCGTCTCGTTGTTCTTTTCTTGTTTCTTCTCATGTTCCTTTAATCATTGCCTTCATTATGTTTGCTAGTTGCTGTATTTCTCCTTGAATGTTACTGACTTCTCTCTAGATGTTTCCTTTTTTTGCCTTTATTACTGCTTCTTAATTTACTCGGGTTTGCACCTGTTGCATTACTTCACCCCCTCTCAAATTTTGTTTTTGAATTTCCAAGCTTTCAAAAATGTTTTGACGTTCTTGAGATACGTTGTCATTGGATTTTTCGGAATTTTTGGCGTTCTTTCTTTTTCAATTAATTTCCTTAAAGGCTTCTTGCGACCTGACCATTATTCTATATACGATTTACAAGACCGACCCTCGTATCTCTCTCAATTAAAATTATTAAAGTAATTCATCAATATCCGTGCAAAAAGGAACCGCTGTATATGTTTCTTCTTTCATCTCAAACAGCCTGCAGAACTTCCCTCTAGCAATGCGAGAAAGGAGTGGGGGGCCCTCTAATGTGATGTTTCCATGTATCAGTATGGTTCCACTGTCTTCGTGGAGTACGTACCTAATACAACCCGCTGTATCTGTTGCCTGTTCGTTTCGTGCGGATTGCATACCTTGCATCTTAGCAATAGTTGCTATTGGCATTATCACGTATGATCTGCGTGTTTAATTAGGCCGAAGTAGAGCCCCGCCATTTTGATGTTTTCTCATGCACATGCAATTTATCATTTTACGAATTGTGTATGTGTTTAGTACTAAATTGATTTCATGTTTTCCACTTACATTTATGATGTCTCCTGTGTTTTGTTTTTATGAATGTATCTAACCGCATTTGATTCGTACAATTTGAGATGATTTATGAGTGTATTTTCTCTTGCATTTTGTAGCTGCAGTTGATTTATTTCTCGTATTTGTGTAGGTTATGCCAGGTTAACTGAATCGATTACAAAACGTAGGAGTCCAATTCCTGCCAGCCAAACCCTACCAAGATTCAAAGTGGCGCGAAACGTCGTCGTTTCGACTTGAAAGGTAGGTGGCTCTGCTCGTAGTTTCTTTCCAGAGTTGCTAACTGTTAAGTATAGAAGAAGTCATAATTTTCAGTGTCGGCTTGGGGCACCCCTAGGATCATTACAACTCTTACGGCGTCTTTACCTTGCTTCTGCGCTACTCCAAATACGAGAATCGACAGACAACGACCTATAAAACTGTAACTTATTAATACTACAAGACAACGTAAAAATTTAGGGTCCTAACACTATCAGCGAGGAGGTCTGAGTCTGAAAAAAGTGAGTGCTATGCTAATCAGTTAGTTAAACCCTGTCTCACCACAGTACCTTGTCAAAAATGTGTGCCTATTCCATAAAGGTGAACAAAGCTCACCCTTTTACGTGGAATGTAAATGGGTTTTACACAACCGGCCCTGTACAACCACACTTACTGGAGATTCATCTACGAATGATTTTTGTTTAAGAATAAATAATATTACATAACTAAAACTTGTTAATGCGACCGAAAAAAATTTTTAAAATGGGCTAATAGAACGAATGAATGTACTGACAGATAACGAACAAACCGAAACCTAATAATAATACATAAAACAGAACAAGGAATGGTTACGCTTGTGTAAGAATTTCCAAATCACTACATGGCCTTATCAAAAGTATTGCCAAATTGTTTGTTTTTATATTTTTCAACGATTATTTTCGTTGGGTCTACGGATTTATGTACGAAAATAACATTGATGTCGTAATTGTTAAATCAGTAACGAAACGACTTTTTTACGATTATCTTTGAACTTTAAAAATAAACATCATTTACACATATCTCAAACTTAAACAACGGTACCGAATCATATTCAGTATTGTATCTGAAAATGACCAAAACAGACGACTGGTATTTAACAATGGTGAGACCTTGCTTATCCAGCAGTAATATTGAACATAAAACGCTCCAATTAGCTTGCTCGTACTTTTTGTTTTCTTTCCTAATACGTTCATACCCTCGGCTGCTCTATTACATAGATTGGTCACCGAGGGGGTATGGCAATATTTCCTAATTTGTTGTCCTGTTCCAGGTGCATGTTTTTATGCTGATTGTCTTGGTACTAGTAGTTCTATTGTACGCGTATCTTACAAGGAATAAGAATTACTGGAAAAACCTGGGTGTCCCATTTGACAAACCAGTTCCACTCTTTGGAAGCTTATTACCACTAGCAAAACAAGCGATATCAGTTGGAGACTTCTTCTGTAAACTGTACAGGTCCACTGACCACCCATACTATGGGCTATTCATACTGGGCCAGCCATCACTTCTCTTGAGGGATCCTCGGCTGATACAAGATATGCTCATAGGAGATTTCGAGTGCTTTCAAGAACGAATGGGTGGCAAATGCGATCACGACCAAATAGGAACAAATATACTGTTTTATATGAAGGCGTCAAGTTGGAAAGTAATGAGGGGCAATCTGTCACCTTTTTTTTCGTCGAGCAAATTAAGTCGAATGTTGGAGTTGATCAATTCAGTGGGAGAGAATCTTGTAAGTCACATTAGAAAAAAAACTTCAGTCGGATTAGCAGTGAATAGCCTGGACGCTAGCACCATGTACGTTACCGATATAGTAGCGTCGTGTTTTTTTGGATTTATATCGGATTCCTTAAGTAAAGGAGTGACTGAATTCTTGCAAATATCAGAGCTGTGGACCAAATTAACATTTATGAGAGTAGTCCAAACTTCGTGTTTCGTCTTCGTTCCTACTCTCGCGAAGATGTTTAAGATAAAGTTGTTCGATCAGACGTCGGAGAAGTACCTTCAGGATGTATTTCTACAAGTAATGGGCGAAAGAAAACGGAGCGGCCAAGAGCGGAGAGATTTAGTTGACCTACTAATAAAAATCGAAAAGGAGCAGAGTCATCTTTTTAGTGAGTACCTATCTGACTTATCGTTTGATTTATTAGCCAAATTTAGAAAGGGAAGAAATAATTGCTCAGACCCTTCAACTTCATTTTGGATCATACGACACCACATCTTATTCTACCTCATTTGCGTTGTACGAACTATGTGCTAATGTTGGCATTCAGAAGAAGCTGAGGGGCGAAATTAACTCCGTATTATCCCAACACGAAATCGTCTCACTTGAAGCTATCAAAAAAATGTCTTATTTGCACATGGTGGTATCAGGTAGATACGGTCCTTGTGTTTGTTACAAATTTTATCATGCTTTAACAGAATCTCTTCGCAAGCACCCAATAATTCCAATTATGGATCGCGTCTGCTCCAAACCGTATACGATACCAAACTCCAGTGTGACAATTAAAGCTGGCACACCATGCTTTGTGTCCATTTACGGGTTACACTACGACAGCAGATATTTTCCAAACCCCGAAACCTTTGATCCGGAACGATTTTCCCCAGAAAACAAAGCCAATATTATACCGGGAACGTATATTCCATTCGGCGTTGGACCACGCAATTGTATAGGTCTGCATATTATTTGCAAAACTGCCACGATTTGTAAATATTTTGTTTTGCAGGTTCTAGGTTTGCTGTACTTGCCGTAAAAGTGGCCCTAATTTGTATAATTCGCAATTTCGAATTTGAACTGGCGGAAGATGCGGGGTCATTCCTTGGATATGATCGAAAGGCGTTTCTGCTGACGCCAAGAAATAAATCTCTGAATATTAAGTACAAACCAATAAGTTAAGGCACTAGTGAGTAACGAATTGAAATTATTTGACTCTTCGTTGAACGATATAGTGTTTGAATTGCAACTATTTATTACAGATGTGCGGATATAAAGATTTGTAAACAATTTAGTGATTACCATATTATTTTATATGAATTGTGAAATTAAAAAATTTTAGAATTTTTGGAGTCGTCATCAAAAACCTCGTTTGAACTGCTTGGTGGGGATTTCACACTGTAAGATACCTAACGTGAAACGTTTCTTCTTATCAACATTTGATGGAACTGTTAACTTCCATGGAATTTTTCTATATTTCAGAGGATAAGTAACCGCGCATAAACTTTGATGTAATCTTTTAGCCTGTAAAGACGAGCGAAATAAGATCGTTTGTAAAAGGTGGTCACTAGCCCGTCTCAAAAATTTCATTTTGCAAATTTTGAATTCATGTGTTGGTCAACATAGGCAAATTTCCACATGTACCGTTTAATAGCGAACATGAACGAAAGTATGGCTGGCGATAACCAGAAACAGAAACGTATTTCGGAAAGCGAGCGCGGTTGCCACGATCTCGTGGGATCTAAAAGTTTCATTCCATTCTGTTTAAATCCGAGCACGTGCAGACATGTGGGTTGTTCGGGCACGCCAGTCGAGATCATTTGGGTTTTCGGTTTTTCTCGTGGACCCGAAGTGGGAGGGCTAAGGTTCGAAGGCAAATTCGCGAACGATCACGTGCGCTGTTTTGTGGGTGAATTTTTGTACCGTTGAAAAGTCATTCTAAGTTGATTTTCGAAACGATCGCGTGCCATTTTAAATGTGCTGAAATTCAATTCTTAGCGAGGTTATAAAAGCAGGCGCGTGCCATGTTGTGTACGAGACATTTTATTTCATGTAATTGCGAGGATTCACGGTGACAATTCAACTCATGTATAAAAAATCGCATAAGCCGCAGTGCAATTGTCACTTTGGCAGCGGCAAAAGTTACCTGCAACTTTTCCAGCGACAAATGCAGTAGTGGTTTTTTCTACAATCAATATACAAAGTAGGCATTTGCGCTCGTATTTGACAACGCAAACGTCATCTTTTTCGAGGAATGTCACTTTGTCGCTTATAAGCGACAAAATAGAAAAAAACGCTCGCTCTCCCAATTATTAAGTATAAATCAAATATGCATTGCTCAGAGTATCCAATGACAACGAGTAAATGACATCTTTCATTTGGGCATAAGATTAATATGATTTGAGTGAAAAATTTAAATTTCTGGAAATATGTGAACTGATCGATTGTAGAAAAAATCTTGTGTGTAATTCGAGCGCAAATTGATTGTCGATTTCAAGAGATTGCCGCGCTCCTTCGTCGCGCGTCAACTGTCTCTTTCAATCGACAATATATCATTTTGCGCTCTTAATACACAAATAGCTATTTTCACTTATTTATTATCGAACCAATTATCGCATTGTCCTTTCCCATACGACTAGTTTGACGTCTGTCAATAATTGATTAGTTTGGTGAATTTCTGTTCGTTAAATTGTCCTGCCGAATTACACTCGAGGTTTGTATTTAAACCGAGTAAATTTGTGTTGTTGCCATTCAAATCTGTTTCCTTTTAGCAATTGAACTCGAAAAACTGTCAACCTAAAAATGCTCCACCTTCGGTGTCGCATTTTTATTAGTTAACAGTTTTTCTCGTCTAATTGCTAGGCAACAGATTTTCATTACCTTAACAACCCAAATTTACTCGGTAAAATACAAACCTCTTGTGCAATTATAAGTGATAAAAAACTTCAAGAGCCACGACGCACAATTCTTTCGTGCGAATTGATTTGACTTGAGTGACAATACAAAAAAAAGCTATTTGTGCTCAATTTCAATCATGTCGTATAGCGTATATGTACATTGTACAATCAGATGAGACGGTTGTTTAAACGTAATTTGTAGCAAAACCTTTCATTCACGAGTGATAAAATTTACGCGAAGGAACATTTTCGAGTAGGGGCGCTTTTAAAATCAAACCGCGAATAAATAAACTGATATTAATCCTTTTTTGAATTGCTAACAGTAACTGCTGGTTAAAACAAAGTTCTTTAAAGTTGAGTAACGTCAATTTGATAGCGCTTTGTGCGATAATTAAAATTTTTGTATACAGGAGCGCACGTTAGGCAATTAATCGGTGCATTTACCCGCAACAAAAACGAGTTAATAAATTGAGCAACATATTTACACAGCGGAATATTAGCATGGCGTAGATGAGGGGGTAAATCCCCTTTCCTGGCCCTGGCGGCGTCTTTTACTTTATCAGATCTGTCAAGAAAATCCCTACTTTTCTTTGGAGGTATAGAAACGCCTCCGCCTTCCTCATTGGCTTGAGAAGTTCAGGGGATAGGACGGGGGCATTAGCTGCGCTCCTGTTTGAGAATAAAAAGCGTGTGTGGTAAGTATGGTTGGACGTAGATAGAAAAGCGATATGGTATGGTACGATACTCAGGAGTGGTGGGGGTAGTGGAGAAGGGCTGCCCTGCTCATTTTCCTGCTCTTCTCGCCTTGAGCTTGCTGGGTTTTCTGAGGCTTTTGTTAGGTCGTGCTTGACTTTCCAGCCGTGGCCCTAGCCTCGTCTGGGTTATGCTCAGCAGCTATTAGTTTTTTGAATCGCTTTAGAGCAATTCCACAAAGCTTTACATTTGGGGTGGGGTTAATTGCATGCCCTCCACAAATTTGTTTAGTTTATTTGTCGCCCCTGAGGCTGTTGAGGCGTTGTTGCTCGAAATTCGGAGTCCTCTGGTGTTCTTTTGGAGAGAGAGGTGGTAACACTGTCTAGGCTAGGCTAGTATAGTGCCTTAGTTAGAGGCCAATAAGGTCCTATAAATGTCGGACATGCTTTGATGAGTGGTGGATGAAGGTAACGACTCCTCCGTTACAGCTTGGATGGTTTTAGTATTTAAGTTGAACATGGAGGTCCCACGAGTATTGGGATTTCAAACGGCCAAGGGCAGCTTACTCCTACTACCAGAAAGCTACTTAAAGCTGGGGGGGGGGGGGGCACCTGGTACCCAAATTTCGCTGATAACAGATCAAGATCTCCCTTGGCCATGCCGTCATCGGCGCGACCTGTTCCACCTTGACTTGGATTTGATTCGCCTTACTGTCATTCGGCAATCTCAGAATTCTATTAGGAGCGTTACGATTGTAACCAGGGTTAGTGAGGTACCACTAAACGCTAAAAAAGTTTTTATTTCGGCTTATGGTGGTCAGAACCAATGCTGCCGAGCCTTTCTCTCTAGGTTACTACGCTTGGGCAGCACCATATCTGCTTACTCCAGAACCTACGCCCGCCGCTAACCCCTGACCTATACCCTCCACCTCGGTTTAATTATTTCATCCCGAGTCCACACACGTAACGTAATTAATTTACTCCATTTACATCTGAAATAACATTGCATTCGAAAATTGAGTTTTTTCCTAATGTTTTTTCTCAACAACTATAATCTGTAGAAATAATCTTGATCAAATTTTTTTTTAAATTCTTACTCCCTAAACGGGAATGTAAAACTATTCAAAGCATTATTATTGTGCTTGGTTGCGGTTTATTACTTGTTGAAACATCCCCGTAACTTTTGTAGCGTCTTGATAAATGGCTCCACCAATGGTTAGAATTTGACAACACCTTTTTTGGCACATTTGACGACGCATTATCTTGCTTTGATTAGTGCCTGTCAATTTTCAACTTTATTTTCTTTCGTAAACCGTCTCTAGTTATACTTCGTTTAAACAAACAGCTGAAACGTGAGTTTGAACACATGGAATTTTAATTGCTATAATCTATAATTCCATATATATTGATGTTTAGCAATTGGATTCATAATTCGGAGATTCCGAATTAATTAATTGGACTGGATTCACCTATAACCCCTATTAGTAAGGATATAATTTGTGTTCTTCTCTTTTTTAGCTGATATTCGTGTACCGTAATTTCCATCGACAATGCTTCATCTACAATTAACTTCCTTATTTAGGTTATCAAAGAAAGGGGTTACTTTTGTTTTCTTTTAGGGGTTTAAGGACCAGTTCAATTTTAATTGTAAGTACCAGTTTCAGGACCAGTTAGATTTTAATTTTAAGTACCAGTTTAAGTTACGGATACGTTTTACTGTACCTTGTTCTACATACAAGGTGAGGGTGTGGTAACCTTGGATTAAGTCCGCCATTGCCTGCGAGTGCCGACACCTTTGACATATTTTTCCACATGCTGATAAACAGCGAACATTTTGCTGTAAAATGGGTCAACAGGTCATGGAGGAGATTTAATTTCGATTCGATCTTTAACAAAGAATCAACCCTTTAACGTTTTAGATAATATCTATTTTGCCCCTACAGGGTTTAATGCGAGCAATTTGTTAACATCAGTACCTATTCAGAACTTCTGTTAAGTTATGATCGAGTTTGAAACGCGAATGTTGGAGCCCACCACTTCCTTCTGAAGAGGTTAGCCATTTAAGTACCGTACCTGGTGTAGAAGCAGATTACGAGTGGAGTGAGGCCCTCCAGGCATTAATCAACCAATTATACACCGAGCACTGTTTAATTACTGATTGCGGGTTTTGGATACGAGAACTGAGCTCACTCACTGGCGACAACATCCACTGTTATTCGAGGTAAAAGTTAACTTATATGTTTTACTTGTTGGTACTTGGTCCTATGCGACTTTTTGTTCGGAATGTCAATTTTGCTAATCGATCATTTTTGATTGGGAGAATTTTAAGTGTACAGTGAAAAAATGGATATTTAATTAACAACTCAATAGTTTTCGGTTTAATCTAGTTTTATCAATCCATTGATTAGCATATAAGGCTGTTTATCGCCCATATTTCTTTGACAAACACGTTTGTCCTTAGACATATACGTTATTAAGACAATTAAAACCTGGAACTAATCAACTACCCTATTCGCCTTGAACTTCAGATATATTCCTGTGGAAGGAGAAAGAAAGACACTATACGGCGAAAAGCGTATCTTGGTAGGAGTCCTTGACGGCGACGGTTTAACTTCAAATTCTCTCAAAATGTACAGTAGTGCAACTTTAACTGCCATCAACGAAAACCTCGCGCCTTAAAACAGATTCAGATGCGCGTACAAGAAACAGTACATTACCTATGCATCCACGAGGGCCATCACCAAAAGGTAAATAGAAGGTTTTGTCCACTTTTTTATCGGCAAATCTTTCTGGGTCGAAGTTGTCTGGGTTTTTGAAGTATTTGGGATCATAGTGTAAACCTAAAAGAGGAATGTATATGGGAGTTCCTGCATCAATTATAAGATTCTTTTCTGGAATTGAATAAGTTTTGGCGCATTTTCGTTCTAGAAAAGGCAGTATTGGATACTTTCGCAGAGTTTCTACAATGCAAAATTGTGCGTGAGCCAAAATTGGAGTACTCACTTACCCTGAACTACCATGTGTAAGTATCGCATGTGTTTTATTACTAGATAATCGAAACTGCCGTATTGTAGAAAAGTGCTGTTAATTTCCGATCTGAGCTTCTCTTGAATGTCACGCTGAATACTTAGTTCGTATAAAGCAAACGATACCGTCGAACCAATCGTCTCAAATCCGGCGGTAAAAACTTGTACGGCAATTGACAATATTCGATCGCCCTCTAAAAGATAGTCAACCCATCAACGAATACCCTAAATGTGCTTACCAAACTGGAAACTTTCGGTTAGGTTGGGACTATTTTTGAAACCTATCATCGCATCTATCAGGTCGTGTCTGACAATTTTTGTGCGCTCTCTTTCATTCAGCGTATCCCAAAAAACCTTCCTTAGTAAATTTGAGGTCTGGTAATCAAAAAATCGCAACTTAAAGGTCTTAACTAATCCGTGCGCTATGAAATATGCAACTTGACTAAAACCAGTTTTCCAATCGAATTCAAGTATCTCTTTGCACATCGGATAAAACGATACTTTGTCCGATTTAAAGCTATTCGTTTTTATGCCAAAAGTGCAGCTGTTTATAGCATCCGTTGCGTATCTTCCGCCAAGTTCTTTGGCATCAATACAGTTCGTAGTGTCGTAGCTGCGCAGATACGATACCATATCGTTTGCGACTTCTTTACACAAATCCATCATGTTCTTCAGTTTTCCCGTTGTAAATAAGGGAGTTACTTTATATCGAATTAATTTCCATTCAGGACTTTTGGAAAAGAAGAGCATATTCGAAGCTATCGCGTCGCACTGTTCATCGTAGAGTACGCTACGGTCATGAAAGTGGTGAAAATCTTTTACAAGTACCTTTTTTATTAACTCGGGGTCCCTTATTACTAGCACTGGTTTGTGAAGCATATACATTCCAAAGAATGCGGCGTCAAATTGCTTATACAGGTTACCCAATAGCTCCCCAATGGTCACTTGAGATGTAAATATTTGAAACGAATTTCCAAAAAATGGCACAGGTTTGACGTACTGTACATTTAACTTCTGCCAATATTTAAAGCATCCATTTAGATACTTCCACGCGAGATACGCCAACAATAAACATAAAATCAATGGTACATAAAGTGCATACATCTGTAACCATAAAGCGTCGTGTCAAAATTCTATAAAGTAGTCGTTACCTTTCGCTGCTTCCTATCTCAAAAACACTGCTACCGGTACCTATCCCAACAACAATATTCGTTGAATGGTGTATAATTCTTCAATAAGTAATAAGTGCGCACTCAAAATGAGAACAAAGGCGAAGTATTTTTGTCTTATCTGTAAGATAGATAGATAGATAGGAAATGTACAAAATCATTAAGTGGCGCATTCAAAGAGGCGAAAGGGACCTGGCTCAACCCATAGCCAAAGTCTATTTCATAACATTTTACTCGCAACCGAACCCCGAGTCTTTGACTAATAATAGTATAGTAGTTATTTCTTATAGCCGACGATCCCGAGAATCATTAAACCATGCCCTAGTGAAAATACATATGGAATATGAGCTAATAGAGCTCAAATGTTTTACAGATCTCAGAAATTCGATAGATTAGCGTTTAGATTATAACATTTAATTAACAGACAAAGCTTGAATCAATTGCAAATCATTCTTATGTTTATGTAATGTTGGCAGTTCTTTAAACACTTTTTACGATCCGCCCGCGGTGTCTTAAAACAAGTGCAATGAAAACTGATATCAATATCAAACAACTTTATCTTTATTTGACAGCAAAAATACCATTATTTTTGATAGTTTACTTCAACGGCTAATGGCGGACCTGGAACGCTGATTCAAAAAATCTAATCTATTTAAATAGGTATGTAATCACATTTTCGTATTTTATCAGAATTTTCATATGCCCTTCAACACTAGAAGCAATTGTTGGGGTTTACATGCATCATAATTAAACAAAAATAGGAACTTACCCTTAGCCTTACCAGTGTGGTCTCTTCTGGAGAATAGGCATTTCACCATTGTAACTACGCTACATACACCGCACCATTTAAACCTTCACCATCTAATGAACGGCATACTGCTGGGCGAGGTAGCGTCAGTGTCGGTACGACCTCCTTATCCTTTGAAACATATACCTAAATTGAAAAAAGAAATCTTTTTAAATAAAAAAAACTGTCGCCGATGACTAGTGAATTTTTCAATCTCACCGTCTTTCAGTTTCCACACGTGGCATTTTATCAAAAATCACAGTAATAAAGTCATTACAAAGTAAAATATAAATCTGTATATCAAGACACATTGTTGGTGCATTGACATAGTTCTGAATTTTTTTACAATAAGTACACGATCCCTTCACGATTAAGACATATCAAGGTTTGAATACTACTACCGGTAGGGTGTGAGGCTTAAAATGATTTCCTTGTTTATCTTAATGAAAGTCCTGCTGCTGTTTAGTAGACAATTTTGCCGATCTGTTGGGTTATCTTACTCGCCATATTGGAATTCGTACTTATGTGCCTCCATAACACATATAATTTTGCAAACCGATAACTAAACATTCGTGGACTAGGAGATTTAAAAAAAACCTGTAGAGGAGAAGAAGTAAAGATGGTTACATCCGTCTTGTGCTATTGGGATGCTAAAATATTTTTTTTCTGCAGTGAGGATGCGCACAAAATTGATATCCCTTAGTTCTATAAACACCACTAAAATTTTAAGTAGTACAATGGGGAAGTCATGCACAGATTCAATTCTCTGATTCGAGGAGCGATTTCCCTGGACCATTCTAACGCTGAGAGGGTTGAGAGTTTGTGGTTTTTTAAAAGATTTAAAAGAGTGAAATGAGTGATTTTTAAGTTCAGAAAGCACATCAAGATTTTCATGTCTCCATTGCGTTTTGAGTGCCCCGTCAGTCACATTGCAAAGAGAGCATTTTTATTTGAATTTATTTGGGGATCTTTTCACGCGGAAATACGCGGTAATAGAAAGTTTTAATTTGTAAAAGTGGAGGATCGGAAAACATTTTCCTCAAAGAAACATTGTTCATGGTAGCTTCAAGTTTATTCTATTTTGACGATCGAAATACAAATGAGCGTTATGAATGAGCTAATTGTCCCAAAGCGTGAGTTCTCACCTCATTGCCTGGATCTGGTTTTGAATTACACTCTGTACATTGGCTTCTTTGGTTATTTCTGCAGCTAATTTCGAAAGCAAATGGTGAGAAAATGCGGATTCAGGAAAATTGAGAGTCACCCATAGCCCTAAAAGCCGCAATAATGGTGGGAAGAAAAAGACTAACAATTGAAAATTCATGAATGCCCGCCGCCATTGTTTTGGGTGTTAGAACCACTCAGTAACTAAAGGGGGTTACTCCGAAAAAGAAGAACGTAAAGAAAAATAATAGGTACATTTGTTAATGATGCAGCCGAAGCCAGTCGCTGACATTAGGAGGTTCAAATGGTTGGCGTTTCATTCAAATTTTCACCATTCTGCCTTCTGGTGTATCTTACGTAGTAGTTTCGGACCTTGGGAGGTCTATACTGCATTCCCTCGATTTTGGGTGGATATCTTCTTGGTAGAAATTCTCCAAAATTTAATGTTGGCCGATGAAAAATAACCGCGAACTGGTTAAGACAATCGCATGCTGGTTAAAAAATAGGCGGGTGAAAACACCGCGATACAATTGCAAAGTTCATACGCCGATCTTTACGTGACCGCGGTTACAGAACGAATGAATAATGCTTTCTTTACATACTTACCTACTTCATGACTCACAATTTGTGGTGACATATTATATATAGTTTATTGCTGACCATGCTAAATAACATTACTTACGTACCTAGGTACTTTAATAACATACACCGTTAATGAAATTTAACCTTTAAGTAACACTGTCAAACTCAAATACTACCCCACTGTAGAAGGTAAATAGAAACTAATTGTTTAATAGGCCATTACTGTGAAATTTGATCGCAGGTCTAAAATATATAAACCGAATTTGTCCAGTAGACATGTTAACGCCGGAAAATTAACAGCGTATAGAGTTCATAAATAAACACCATTATTGTTTGGGCGAGGAAAATACCTACGTGAAAGAAAGAAGTATCTTAATATATCGCGCAAAGCAAAACATTCGTCAGCATTCCGTGAGTGTTAAATTACGAAACGAGAATTGTATTAGCTCTGCCGTGATCAAGTAAAATGTGAATAGACTGTCACAATTAAAAAATACAGAGAACGAAAAAACTCTCCTGTGAATCTTTACTCAAATTCAATGAAATTACAAAAAACTGCTTGATGTACTCCGTTATGAGAGTGAATTCAAAGTCTATAAAGTAGGTACAGAATGATATCTCTACTATTTCCAATTTAGGCCAATATTTTCGTGCGTCTTAATTAAAGTTTATTTTACTTTTGATTGATTTTTTTATCTAGAATTATTCCTTACATTGTTTACTAGAATAAATATAATTATCTGGCCAGTAGAGATATTTCTTTGAGTTTTTTATGGGAATAATTAAACTATTATCCTTTTAAAGGGATTGTAACAATTTGTTTGATTTAATTGTTTAATTACAATAGATGTGCAACTTTATAGATACATAGGTTCTTATTTCTTCGAAAAGGAGTATATTGTTTTGATTTCAAAGTTCAAATAAATTATCTAAATCCGAAAATATACGAATGCTTTCCAAAAAAATACGTACGCCTTATAAAGTGGATTAGTGGACCTAAATAAGTGAAGAAAACGTTAATTGGTAGAGGACAGGAAAACCAGTATGTTTAATAATAAATCGAAGGTCTGAATTTTTAATAGCCTGTGAGCATTCTAGCGCCCTCAGTCTACAGTGTTATAGAGCTTTTAAGTATCTTTAATGGTCACTAAGGACTTTTTAGAAAGTCTCTCTACGAACCTCTATTGAGCCTTGAAGTATTAAGTATTAAAAAGTGAGAGTATTGAATCTTGCATAGAGAAGAAAGTGAGAAAGAATATTGAGAGTATTGAAAGCTTTTGAAGACTAAGAGCCTTAAAAGTTTTCAATAAAACCCTTGGAATTTTTGTGTTTTTGAAGCCATTAAGAACACGTAAAGAACTTTATTAGTCTTTACGCATTTCTACGATTCTTTAGTTGTTTAAGAAACTTTAATAGTTTGGACTTTTTCCCACAGAAATAAGTAAAGAGGCACACCTTTCTATAGTTAACAAAAGTTATCGCCGTTTCAATACGTCTCCAAGATTGATTAACGACCTTTAAAACCATCTAGCATTGGTAGTAAAAGGACACTAACCAATAAAAATTTAGACATCACCATTTTGAAGATAATTCGCCATGTATGGGCGTGAAACGTTTTCTCAGTAAGAGATCAGCCAGAGGAACAATTAAACGGAGACGTTTAATTAAATAGTCCATAAGAGTAGCGAAAATACAACTAAAACTGTTGCAAATGCTTACTGAGGATTTTTTACAATTATACTAAATAGTGACAAAGTTCATTAAACTTCGTGTTCGCAAATCCTTTTCTTGGAAATTAAATTTCGAGCCCAATGTATTCAAGAAAAAATTCTCTGAAAGAAATCACCTGATAACATCTGTTTTATATCCCTTCAGCTGTATCTAGATGTTAAGATCAACCCATTTCATGAAGGAAAAAATCGTAGGCCAGGGTTAGTTCTATTTATTTCTGTTTAGGATGTCAAAGGCACTGTGGGATACCTAAGAAATAATGTAAAAAAGAATTTGCATAATATTTAACGTAAAGCTTTGATTATTGGTTAATGTTATTTGCTTGTTAATGAAAGTAGGTAAACCCCGCGACTAGAGTCAGAAGGAATTTACATTAAATTCATCATCATCTGCCGTTTCTCGACGTATTGCTACGACCGATGTCTATCGCCACTCCATGTAATTAAGAACTAATTCATCAATATCATGGATTGCAATTGTTCATCAATGAGAAGATCCATTGTTTAATGTTAATCGATAGGGTGATTTCGAGTCATTACCCGTGATTTATCATGGACACTCAAGATTTCAAGTGTTTTGGTTTAAACAATAAATGCGCCTAGTGCATTTTTTTATTTTGGTCACAGTTAATGACTAGTGTCTTTGACGTGAAAAACGTGCTATAATAGTAAAAAATTTAAATATTTAGATTTTGGAGCATTTTCCATGTTTTTAATTTCGATTTCGAGATTGCCTAGGTATACGGATCTAAATATTATTGAAGTAGAATTCGGTAATTACTAATCTTATCATAACCACTCAAGATTTAAAAGGTTTTGCACTATAATCATGTTCCATGTAAACAATAGCACCGTCTCACCTTGACTTTACAGTACAAAGAGCATAGAGCAATCGAATCCTTACAAGAGTTTCTATGGCAGCCGACTACAAATACGCCCATTTTTTTAAACGAAATTCTCATGACATTTAGCATGTGTTGTTGGCCGCAAGAGCCTGTCCGGTAAGATCAAGGTGTGACGGGTTATAGCACATATTTTTAGCGCATTTCCACAAAAATAAAAAAAAATGCACTATTATGGCCACTTTGTCCGTCCGTCCGTCCGTCCGTTCGCTAACTTTGCGACGCTACTAGTTCTTTATCTTAAGAGCTATTGTTCTACTTTTTTCGCTATTTGGTTCGTTATGGTGTCGAGTCTTGTACCAAGGAAGGAATTTTTCTGTACCGCTTACAAAAAAAGTTATTGTAAAAAAAACAAAAAACCGTTTTTTACATGTTCCATAATTTTACACTTTTGCCGTTTATTAACGATCCTAGAGATCGTTTATAACTTTGCATTGCTATCTGTCGTCTGCCTGTTGGTCTGTCCGTCTGTTCCTTTGTCTGTCTGTCCATCTATCTGTCCGTGTGAACGATAACTTTGTTTAGAAATGTTCGATCGTTTTTACATCTCCGTTAGTTATGAACTGAATTGCATGAAATTCAATATGGGCATAGCTTTAGCCATATAATACGCAATGCCAAAAGTTGAATCAAATCGATTCAAAATTCACAGTGCCCTTTTCGCATCTCGACCATTTATAAGCCGAATTGCAAACTTGTTTACTTATAAAAGTATTTGAATGAAATTTGATACATAGGCACTTGGAATAAAGGAAAATCAAACGCCAATTTCAAAATTTGGTTTTGCGCATGCGCAGTGCCAACTTTTTATTTATGGAAGAATTTAAATGAAATTTGATACATAGGCACTTGGAATAAAGGAAAATCTAGCGCCAGTTTCAAAATTTTATTTTGCGCATGCGCAGTGCCAACTTTTTTTATCTATGGAACTATTTAAGTGAAATTTGATACTTAGGCGCTTGGAACAAAGGAAAATCTTAGTTTATTAGTTAGTTATAGTAAATTAGTTTTAAAATTTAGGTTTGCGCATGCGCAGTTCCAACTTTCTTATTTAGAAAAGCATTGAAATGAAATTCTTCTCATAAACTGAAATTGCAGTAGCACGTCAACAATGGATTGTCCATGTGCAACGCTATCTTTCATATTATTTTGTGGCCGGATTTTTACGATTTTAACAGAAGTGGCATCTTACAAATGGGAAATGAATGCAAGTGGAAATGCGCTTTATGTAAATCGTTTACGATTACTTTTTAACTTGTTGATATTAAAGCTACATCTACAGATTACTGCCATTGACGGTAAGCGGTGTGCCCCCCCCCCCCTTTGTGCGTCTGAAAAGTTTCCAACACATTCTACATACATAGGCGTATTTGGCGATAGCACAACTAACGATGGGCATTTATCGCAATCTCACTCTTAAAAAAACGAGGATCCAGAATTGGCGTCTCTTTTTTATTTTTCGTTTTCCTAATTGAAGATGGACTGCAAAAAATTCCAATCTCGACCAGATTTCATTCTTTTAGCATGAAAATAACGGACCAAAATAAATTTTAAAAAATAAAAATTAGATCTGCCAATCTTGCTTGAATTAGAATTTCATGAAATTTACTGAATACGCTCTTAATATACTTTTTGTAAGAGTTTTACGTGTCAAAATGGTTTCAAAAATCAGGGTTTGTTATTGCCGTGCCAAGAATTTCAAGTTGAAACATTTTTCCCAATAATGCAAGACTAACTTTGGTTTTGCTATTTTCACTTTCAAAGAAAAAAATAGTAATAGGTAATAAGGATAAGAAGTTTGGAAGAATAGTTGCAAAATGAGATACCCAAAAATCTATCCAAAGCTGTTCTGTAAATCAATACACTACAACTCTAGTGCAATTATCTAACTAGGCTATCAACAACAAATGCTAATCAGAATAAAATTGTTTTTCCTCCAACTGCGTTCTGCACGCACCGACTATAGAATTCTCAGATACTGTTTCTTCGATTTGGAATTGAAATTGACCCTCCAGCTGCGTTCTTCACGGCGTGACACAGTCAGACGCTTAACGCCGCTGTCCTGCTTCGACATCTTCAACGGCGACGCCCGCGGTCCTTACGTGCGTCGCCACGAGAGACTTTGAAGATCGTGTGTGATATTCGTGTTTGTGTTCTGGACTTCGGGAAACCTTATGTAGTTATAGTGTGCATATATTTGTTATAGGATCATTGTTTATAAGCATTTTTGTTATTTAAAATTAAAGGTAAGTAGAAATGCCTATGTCTACTTCTAAATGAATAGCACTCTATATTGCACAACGAAGTCAAGGTGTTAAGAACATCAGTGAAGACGAATCCTCCGATAGAATATCGGCGCAAATGAGTAACGGCGCAGATAAATCATTTATTTGTTACTCAGTTGTAAACGTTGATTAACAAGACAAAACGCAAACGGGTAAACGTCATGTTTAAACGCTACTGACTTGTAAAACTGACAGCAGACCTGTAAAGCTGACAGCAGACCTGTAAAAATTTTACAAGTTAGTAATCTAGTAATTTCATTGGCCAGAATTAATGCGAAGTCTCTGTTACATGGATAACATGATATTTTAGACATTTCTTCAAGATTAATTTAAGAACTAATTATTTACATTTACTATTGTTTACAAATGAGTAACAAATAAAATATTGTACATTATACGCCAGGTAATAGTTTTTACTGGCTCTAGGAGATGACAAGCTCGCCTAACGGCTCGCTAGTCAACTTCTCCTACCGCCAGTAAAAACTCACTTACCTGGCTAATAATGTAAAATACTATAATTACCATTACCATCACTCCCAGCTTCTTGATACTGAAAATTGTAATCACTTCATCTTTTAGCAAAATAGCTCACTATCCTATAGATACTCCTCAAAAGTACCACATTATTCCCCGCTGATCCATTATAAATTTTCGTGACACATATTTATATGACACATACTAGTATATACAGCCTTTCAGAGTGTTCTTCGTTTTCCTCGAAATTTTTAGTAGGTACCATTAAGAGTAGTCTTCCAGGATACTTGTTTGTTAGTTTTTTCACATTTTTGAATTGAAAATCAACAGGGTAACCTGCGTGATCGAATGTAGACCTACAATCATTTTTTTATTATACCTGAATCACAATCTCCGTTTTAAACACTCAAATGCGTGCGAAAAAGGGCCTTTAAAACACACGTGCTTTAAAGTTGCTAAGAAACGATACTTCAAGTATGACTTTTGAAACTGTCATCTGGATGAAATAAAAAATCCTCTTAGGTCGCTTTCTGTAAATGCCGAACATTTCTTTGGCTTTTGTACCTATCCTTTGGTTGAAGCTTTCACAAACGCGCGTAATTTAGGGTATGCTTCCAAATCTGTTCCACTTTTTAATCGCAGCACTGTTTTAAAGTTTTGAATGAATGCACCAAAATATAGAAGATTTAAATACCTTTGACATTTCCTTCATATATGCCAGCATTATGGATGCATTTAAGGCTGTATTCGTAAGTAACTTCCTATTCATCCATGGAAACGACTTTTCATATTCTTTATAATAGGCTTTACTGGAGTTGGATTTTACACCTACCAACGTTTGTTTAGATTTTACAACAATCGATTTAATGGACGGTGTATTATCTTTTTCAACGGAAATCGTTTAATTCACAAAGACGATGATTTTTATAAGCAAACGTCAAATGACATTTCCATGGCAATCGTGAAATTACGAACACCCAGCCCACTTAATTAGACATGTATTCGAGTATAACGTCAATATGACTTCATTGTATTTCCTATTTTTAAATTATACTGCAGGTATAATAAAAAAATACTATAAGATACACGTGTATAATTGGTCTTTAAAGCACTTGCAACGTTAAAGGCACTCCGCTTTGCGTCGTGCCCTTAAACTCGTTGCGCGTGCTTTAAAGACTTGATTATACACTTGTATCTTAATATACTATTATTCTAATTGTAGCATAAGGAACGTGCTATATTATCATAGCGAGGTCAACAAGAAATCACTACAGCTACACCAAATAAACACTAGTTTCTTGAGGAGTGAAGAAAACCAGTTTCCGAATAACAATATTTTAATTTCATGGCCCAAACTGAACTGAAGAGTTTAGAATCTCTTCAAAGAATTACCCCTGTCACTATACCTTCTCCTAAATTTAATTGGGAACACAATTTTGAATGTATTCTAAAACCCAATTTATTTCCTTGTTTTGGTTTTGTTGTAACACACAACTTATATTTAGCGAGAATTTTCATTGGACCACTAAAACCCATTGCAATCATAATTATTATTAGAACATAATCAGAGAAAACATTACAAGCATAATTCATGTACCTACACGCAACGTGATCAATGCGTTTCAATTTTTCTAAACTTCATCGGCAGTCCAATATCAGAGGCCAGTAGGAAAGTCTTTGTTTCAAACTTAATTGGGACCGGCGTATCTGAGCTTCGTTCCACTTGAAATTCGGAAAGTAGCTGAACGAGTCCCATTTTTGTTGTAATTAATCCAAACCGTTCACCTGAAAGGTGCGAGCGTTTAAGTGCATATTGTTACCAAATCAATTCGCTTACCAATACAATTTCTCGGGCCATCTCCGAATGGTATGTAGACGAAGTTCTGTAATTTGCTTTTATTTTCGCTCGAAAACCTCTCCGGATCGAACAAGTCGGGATTGGGGAAGTATTCCGGGTCGCAGTGCAAGGCGAAGAGTGGAATATAGACTGGGGTGCCCTTCTCAATTATTGTCTTACTGTTTGGGATTTTGTAGTCGCTCATAGTCATCCTATCAAGGAATGGTAGGACGGGGTATTTTCGCAGGGTCTCTAATGTTCATCATTAAAGATTTGTAATGTAAAGCACGTCTACGTACCACACACTACCATATGCAAGTATTTCATACTCTGAATCGCTTCGTAGGACATAGTTTCATATTGCATCATGGTCGACTGGATTTCTTCACGTAGTTTGTTCTGAATTTCGTGGTTGAGGCACAGCTCGTACAGCGTGAAAGACATCGTGGCACTTACAGTTTCAAAACCGGCAGCAAAGAACTGAGCTGCTTGGGCCACAACCTTATCACCCTCTAAGAAAGTTAATTGCAAAAAGACTTCTCCTTCAGACTGCACCTACCCAGTTTAAACTCCCCCGATGACTTTTTCAGCTCTCTGACAATGTCTATAAGATCATTCCTTTTGTAAGTTCCAACTTCTCTGTCTTCAATGGTGCGCCAAAACACGCTCCGCAGAAAATCTGTAGTGGCACGGTCAAGAAATGGCATACGAAATAGCTTTACAAGAGCAGGTGTTAGAAAGTATGATGTCTGCCGAATTGCCGTTGACAACTTAAAATCAAACATCTGCCTGCCAACTTTTCTAAATGGAGCGTCTTCATTGTTGAACGAATCTCCTTCAAGGCCAAAAGCACAGCTGGTGATGACATCCGTTGAGTATTTGGCGCACACCTCCTTGCACTCGATTGAAGGTCGATCGATATTTCTCCGTATATACTTGTTAAGCGATTCAGCCGCTTCATGTATCAGATGAAACATGCTCTTTATTTTTCCTGAAGTGAACGCCGGTGTCATTTTATTGCGAATGTACTTCCATTCGGGGTTCTTCGTGAAAAATAACATACTAGACGATAGCGAATCGCATTTTTCATCCGATAGTACGGTTCTATCGTAAAAGTAGTTAAAATCCTTAATCAATATTGATCGTATCAGTTCTGGACCTTTGACTATTAAATGCGGCTTATCCAAAATGAACATTCCAAAGTAAGGCTCTTTGAACTGATTGTAATACTTAGTTAGGAGGCCTCCAATCGATATGCGAAAGGTTAGCACGTCCCAGAAGTTTCCTATTATTGGGGTCGGTTTAACGTACGGCACCCCCTTTTTCTTCCAATGATCATTATTTCGTATCGCATAATTGTACAGAAATAGGGATACTGTTACGAATATTAGAACTACATTGAGACTAAAAGATAGGAACGCTGGTATCATCTGCAAGAGAGACTGTTCTAGTTTAAATAGTAGCCAGGCTATTCTTACCTTTTTTGATGGAAGAGCACTCAACAAACGATGAATAAAACAAATGGTTTGCATGTGCCATTTTTATACGCAAGGTAGAATATGTCACAGTGGTACTATTAACTTAATAAACTGATATTACTCAAATTTTGATAATTATGGGTTGTGGTCAGTTACATGTTTCATTTAAGTATGAAACAATTAATGTAATTATTTAAAAAAAAAAAACGTCTTGTCGATGTCCATAATCGGGGCCCATTTTAGGCGACCTTTGTAACTGCCCCATACTGAAGAAACGCATAGCACCTTCCTTTACCTTGTCAGAATTGGTTCTTCTAATGAAAAATAGAATCAGTGACGATCATAATTTGATGTTAAACAATTTTAATGAATGCTGTCATAACCCATCATTATGCAAAAAAAAACATGAAATAGTTCGTAGAAATATTTTTGTATGGCCATCGCTTTAACCACAAGCGAAAACACAAACAGTTTTGTGGTAATTACAAGGTATAATAGTAACATCAGGGATGAACATTTAGAAGAAATATTGAATCATCTGAACGATCTAAAAAGAAACGTAAATCGCAGAATAACCCAAATACACTGTGTATGGGACCTTTGCTTCTTTTTAATCGAGGTTCAAATATTTTTATTAATTACACGTTATCTGGTTATGGTTACACGACTAGCCCAATTGGTTCTGATAAATTGGGCAACAGTTTTCAGGAGACTGGATCACAATTTTCTTACCTGAGGGGTCTTGCTCTCGTCGTTCCTCTTGTTTTGGTTTCGTCTTGGTCTCGTCCTGATATCGTCCTGATCCCGCGCTGATCTCGTCTTGATCTCGTCCTGATCTTGTCCTGATCTTGTCCTGATCTTGTCCTGATCTTGTCCTGATCTTGTCTCAATCTCGTCAAGATCTCGTCTTGATCTCATTTCGATCGAAAGGGAAATTTCCGATGGAAAGTACTTGGACCCACCCTAACCATAAATTCAACCACGTATTTAACAAGGTTGGAAGAAAATGGCAACGACGAGAAGGAAAAGACACTGTTACTTAAGGTGACCTTCCTTCAAACCACTTGGTGCCGTATTTGAAACTGACCAAGGGTTTCTTAAAACCATTTTTTGATATCTTTCAAAATAAATTAACGCTGGTGCATTTTCGGAAATTACATTTCTCGGTATTTTGACCATAACTTCGTTGTTTGTAGAGCTACAATAAACTCTGAAAGGGAGACTTACTCTACATAAAATTCTTTGCCCATTTAAGCGACGTTGTATCTCTTACAGTTTACGAGATCCCCATACTAAACATCGGAAAAAACTAACCCTGAATATAGTCCGGAAAAAAGGACATGCTCTATTGAATAGCATTTTTTATTACGAATGGAATGATTTATGGCCCAATATGATTTTTGATTAGGTATGTCCTATAAAGGAACCACTATATTATATATATATATATATATATATATATATCTTCAAAATTTAATACAATCCTTTTTTCTGATTTAAATAATAAGCTTTTTTGTAACATTTTGATATAGTAGACGTTGACAAAATGTCAAAATAATTCATTGATGGTCCCTTTAAACTAAATAAGGAATCCTATTGTGCCACACTTTGTTGTATTTGTAATAAAAAATCCTACTCACTACAGTATGTACATACTTTTTTATGTGTGAGCACCATCTCGTAGAGCTTAAAAAGTTCCTATAAGGAAGTGCCATTTTTTTTGGCATTTTTTCAAACAGGGCCAGAAGAAAATAAAAACGGATATAGCTTAAGTTCGATTTTCATATTCGAAACTGATCGGAATTTCCGAATTTTTAAACCATCATTTTACTAAGCCCTAAAATTCGCAACTTATTTCTAATTTAACGGATAATGTATCTCTTATGGTTTCCAATTACCCCATGCTGTCCATTCTTATATTGGACACACTGTATATATATATATATATATACACAGTGTGTCTATATATATACATACATACACATGAATCATGTACGAGTGAGCAGTTCATAATGAATTCATAAATTAATAGTAGTAATTCCAATATCAAGGCCATTAAGATGCGAGCGACTTCCGGAATAGGACCGTGTCAATACTGAACGAAACGTCAACGCAAAAATAACATCTTAATCTCGCATTAGTAGTAATTTTACTAAGTAATACAGTATTTATACCGCGCCAAATAATACCATATTGCCAAGGAATTACTACGGCTATAAAATATGTCGATTTAAAACAGGAGTTGGAATCGGAACTGAAAAGAACCGGTACCGGAACCGATTTTTAAAAAGTTATGAAAACCAAAACCGGTACCTGTAACGATATTATTAGTATAATAATCGGTATCATTCGGTTCTCTCTTTTGGAGGCACCTGGAGTAGAGGAATATCAGTTGCTTTAACATTTCGTTCTGGAAGTATTGGTGTAAAAACGTTTCTTAGTTTTATCAGTAGTAGTTAGGATTACTGCTTATTATTAAAAACGGTAAAATAAAGTCGGCATGTAAACTTTGCCATGCTGACATTCAGGTAACATCTTGGGTAACATTGTTTAGTATTAAGTTAATGTGGCAACCCTCCATCAATCAAAATTCTCTTTTATTCGGACTGATACTGTCATTTTAGTTAACGACAATCTTATTTTCTTTAAATAGCCTATTGATAGTTTCTAGAACATTAAGGAAGAGTATTTTAGAGTTAGTTCATGAACTCCATTGGAGGTGAATAATGTAAATTTACTTACGGGTCAATTGACATATTATTGAATTAAAAGGGTCCTTAAACCGATTGATTTATAACAGTTATTAACATATTCATCAGTTAAGTGTACTCAAATAACAATTTATAGCACCAGCGCGAATTTCACTATCACTTCGGCGTTGATATTGGAACTTCGATTAAACACAATTCAATTTAGTTATATAGCAAACAAAAATCTTTTAGAGAATATCATACTTGCGGGAAAGAACACCTCGCATCTGCTATCATTTTTTATAGCCAGTCACTAATCCTTTATTGACTTGATGGCGCCTTGGTGACGCCCCAGAAAATTCGCAGGTGAACGCACACGGACCGACCAAACTAGGCGTGGCGTATCGTTGACTTGATGTGAAAATGGAATTGACTTCCCAAGGGGTCATTCCACGGACCGTTAGCGAAACAAAATCTAGAGCACCTCGTGCTCAAGATGCCCCTGGAACTTCCGAACGTACGGTTTGGCTGGGCGAAACAACTAGCAGTTCCGCGTCTGATGCCAGTGGAAATAGAATCACTTAACTTTTACAGTTTACACTTGTGGTTACTTATATTTACACCCCTTCTCTTAGTATCTACTGTAATTAAGTTCCGCCTATCTTATTACGACGAAGCGTTTATAAGTTCTGCGCGCCTCGCTTCTACAAACTTTTGGCAATCGACCTCGATAGTGAACGAAATCTCTTATTATAATGACTCATTTAATTTACCTCAGTCTGAATATAAACGTATGTAAAGCAGTATTTATGATCCTATTCTATTTACATGTGAAATAAATATGCATTTCTAACCGCGATTAATTAGTACCTACTTAATCTTGCTAATTCCTTTTCAGTCTTATTATACGGTTAAATATAAACTTATCCCAATTTGAGTAAAGGAAATAAATATAACTAATTCCTTCCAATGCTAAAATGCAGACATTCGTAGGTTAAAGGTTACATACATTCCTAAATATAGCTTACGCATTTTTATCAATTAAAAAAATTTCCGGTATAGGGAAATCCCGTTGCAACTGATGTCTGATTTACATGGTATTTTTTAAGAAAGGAATTGGCAATTGATGAACAGGCGAACAGCCATAGTGAAAATAATACAGTTAAAAACTTACCTATATTGTACCTAGTTAAACTAATTTGTAGATGATCATAAAGAATTTACTACAAAGATATGGCATCGAATACAATTGAAGGTGCCGAAAAAAAGCGATATCTATCTGAGTTGGTCCAATAAATCCAGAAAAATTTATGAGAAATTATTTTATTAGTTTCTGAGGTGATGTCGTGGAAATGAAACCGAAAAAACTGAAAAAGGTAGTCTTAAGCTTATTGGCACACTTTTTTGATACAATTAAAGATTACTAAATCTTCTATCCTCCATGTTGAAGATAATGGCTAGAAATTAAAAAAATTTCTTGCGTGGAAAAGAAAAAAATGATGATTATAAGCCGAAGAAATCGAAAATGTTGACTCCATAGATAGAGCAGGTGAATGAATTATTGTCAAGCAAGGCGCTCTTAATGGTTAAGGGGAGATATCCCTAAATAATGTCTGCTAACTTTGAATATATTTACTTTATAATCAAAGCTGCTATTAAAGAAATATTTTAGGTTGGTCCTTGGAGTAGCGAGAGATTGCAGAATCATATTATTCCATTTACCTACTTACAATCGATGAACAGAACTTGACTGAACTGGTATTTCCCTCGGGAATAATGCGGGCAGGTAATAATTTAATGAGTAGTACCTCCGTACATAGTTTCAACGCCTATTCTATTTCAAGCATATTTTCTTCTTAAAGAAGAGCAGCCGGATGGGCTGGATTTGGAATTATAATTAGTAGGTATTTCTTGGAGTCGGAGTGATAAAAAAATTAATTGACCATATCCTCACATATCCATTTACAAGGTTTTCATACAATTTATACTGTTTATTATTAGGTTTAAATTTACAAAATTTTTTTCGTGCAGAAATAACAACAATTAACATATCGATTCAAAGGAACTGGTGGATAATAATTCACACCATCAACATCAAGCAAAATAATAGCCAAAAACGTGAGGTGGTAGGCGTTAGTTAGTTAGTTAGACAGAGTTGAGACACAAGACTTTCTTTATATACAGTGCAATAAATCCTTCCCTAGCTCAAAATAAAAAATGGACGACAGTCATAAATATATTTATGCATTTTTTCGCATTTCGCATATACTTTACAAACAAGTTGTACAATCATTAAAATAGATTTACATCAGTAAAAGGAAGAATTGTTTAGCTTAGCTGCAGATATAAACAAAAGAATTTTGTATAATGTTGTATTCATATTAGGTGGTCCACACTTTAAGAATATACCCATTTTCCAATTAGAATATTTGTAACAGAGAGTACCTAGTTTAGCACCAATTTTGTTAATAAGAAGTTTTAAGGCGTTTCGCGTCCACCTCAATCCCAACACTCAAGATCATTTTCATATTCTGCATTCAAGGCATGTTTTACACTACCAATGATATGGCAACTCTGACAGAAACTTACCGGAAAAGAAAGGTATAATTGGAAGCAGGAAAGATTGACGTAATATATAAGTATTAGCTTATTGTAAGTTTGAACTAATTTTTAAGAGATTGGTACACATAATCCAATTCTTACTTAACAATAGGACTAGAATCGCGTATGTTTAAATTAATAAATTATCTTATTTGGTACAATTATCGACACTACCTAAATAAAATTTGATTTAAAAAAATATTATCTGAAGGTATTATCTAATACTAGGCAATTATCTCTTACATTAAAACCCTATACATTTGTACAGAGATAATATTATTTACAGAATTTTGGTTAACAACTACATACAAGCACAAATATGACACGTAATCAGACGCCAGATTTGTCTAATTGAAAATTAGCCTGGATTGTTCAAGTATTCTGAAATACAGATATAGATTTCTAATTCCTAAAATAATATGTCTTTTGCCGTCTATCTCTATACCTACGTCTAGCAATTTCACTAATCTCAGGCTTGATAATTGTGGATAATTCGAAATTCCTGAAATTTGGGTTGCTCCATCCTGAGCAACTTTAATTCAAATTGGTACTTGGTCTAGTTTTACAAACGAAAGCACCTTACAGAAAACAACTGGCACAAAGAGTCTGATAGGGGAAAAAAGCTAAATTTCCATCAAGAACACAAATCGCTACAAATGCTTTGATCGAACTAATTATACTTTGGGACAACGCATAGAAGACAGTACTTCTTTAGTATAATTCAGATCTATAATAAAAACACAATAATTTACATTCGTATAAAATAAATATACAGTTTTAAATAAATATAGAAACCGCACTTATTCGAATGAAATCTAGACATTGTCTCTAACTGACGGTTTGTATTTACAGCATCGACAAAAAATGTATCTGGTTAATCCCTCCCTTTCGGGAGGATTAATCTCCTGTCAAATTAAGGTTGAACTATTTTGCTCGCATGCTAATAAAACTTGATCGACACGTAACTCCTGTAACTTAGACGTCACGTTTTTTTCGGTGTCAATTTCGGCGACGTCGCCAGAGGAACGATTTTCTCGGTTCTCCTGCTTTGGACTGTTAGTACAATTCGCTTGGGTGTGTGAGGTAGATGGCAACGATTGATTGTCTGGTTCCACATTGAGGGTTGACAGTTTCATGTCGGCTTCGGAAGCCCATACGTCCAGGTCCGACTTCTCCTTGCCGATCGCGAATAACTTCCAACTTTTTTTCGCGAATCCTGACTTTTTGACTTTGGGAAGCGTACTAGCTCGACGATCATCCACGTTCTCCATACTGTTACAGCAGGGGGACTCCAGCTTTTTCTTGCCTCTGGATAGACTCTTCGTGCTGTTGTTGTTTTTGGCTATCGTCGACCTGTTCCGATCTTTCTCGACGGACAAACCAAACCGGTCGGTTAGCTGTTTCAATCGAGCTAAAATTGATTTAGCGTTTTTATTTTCTACATTCGTTGTATCTATATCACTAAACACAGAGACCGTATTTACATCTGATTTTTCGGCGGAAATGGAGTCTGTATTCTCAATACTTTTGGATAAACTAGTGTGTCTCACTAAATTTTTAAAAAGAGAACTTCGCCTGTCTTTCAACGGAATGTCACCAGATTGAAGTTTGATTTGTTCGTCTTTCTTTGGAGATTCACTTTTTATATATTTACAATCGCCACTGGACACGTTTTGTATGTTTGTCTTTTCGGGACACTTGAGTATACTTTTCTTTTCTTCGCTTGCTGCGACTTTAACGGAATGTTCCGAATTTCTCTTGTTGAGGTTTAAAGTTTCCTTTGATAGTACGCATTCGTCCGTGCTAAATTTGTAAGTTTCGCTATCCAGTTCGATAGTGGGATCTGAAATGTGTTCACTTCGTTTATTAAAAGTAATAGCATACTCGTCTAAGAACTCTGGTTTATCAAACGACAATTTTTTACCAACTAAGCACCGTTGATCAAAACTAAGTGCACCCGTTTTTAGTTTACCCTTTTGAATGACCCTATTAAATTCGGACGAGTTGAAATTATGAACACGTTCTCTGCTACCTTTTCGGGATCCGGGATAGCTCTTCCTTCCCGTCGAGACGTTACCTTCGGTCGCTATTTTAAACTTAAGCGCCTTCTCTGAGACTTCCACCTCAGTTGCCGTCTCCGAATCGCCACTTTCCGGATCCTCCATTAGGTCTTCCAGGTTTTGATCATCGACGTCGTGAATCACTGTGCCGTCGTCGTTCTCCATCTCCTCCTCTGTGGACCGCGATCTGCAATTGATAGTTTAGTATACGCGATGATCTGATTCGAATCACCTGGATCGGCTTTGTTGGAAACTTAGACTTTTTCGTAATCGGACGCTGGTGCTCGAGTTCGATTTAGGTACGTAAACTGCTGTAGCGCTGTCGGGGCTAGACGAAGACAATTGGCCTTGCTCAGATAACTCAGAGACGATACTCTTACGATGGAGACGCTCTTCCTTTGTTGCCTCGTTTAATCTACGGTAGTAGTCGAGCGCGTCTCTGACTGGTTGAACTATTAGATCCTGTAAATTAAAATTTAAACGATTACTTTACCTTCGTTTTTTAAAATGTGCAAAAATTTCAGTTAATAAACGATGTCAAAATTTGTTTAAAAATTTTCAAAGCACTCTACCTGTAATTCGACAAACAAATCCCCAAGTGCCTCGAATAGTGGTAGCAACACAAAGCTTATAAATGAACACTGGGAGGAAGGTTTTGTGATTTTATCTCTGTCCATAAAGGGCGTAACAGGCAACCCCTCTAATTTTTCGGCATCACTTTGCTTAAAAAATTCTTGTAAAAGTCGATCTAGCCACGGTTCAGCTACATCCATTGGTCGAGCTTCGTTTGATATGTCTGACACTTTTATTAATACCATGCTTAACTAGAAAATTGCGTTACTGGAAGGTGATGGGTGATGGATGGTACTTACTAAGTTAGTGTGGGTTTTATTAGTAAAATCGAATTCTGGGGTCAACTCTTTGAATTGTGACAAAATTTCGTTATGCCTCGCCATATCCGTTGCCAAAATACTTCGAATCATCCCCTCTCTCACTTGCTTGAAAGCTTCGCTTGTAAACGAGTTAAATATGTTACAGTCTTCATTCTCTAATATTCGGAATGCTACACTACAGTGGTGATTTTCTAAGGGTGATATATCATTGTACCGAAGGGCCAGTTCGGTTTTGGCGTTGATTTGGTAAATGTTGTTATAGCCCGGATGATCGAGGTCATGGCAGACGCAAGATGTAAGCAAAATTAGTATTTCCAAATCTCCAATTTTCGACGGTAAGTCAACGGACCATGTGATCGCATAGAGCTACAAAATACACTCAGAAGAGTAATACCAACCTGTAAGTAGGTATAGGTACACTCACCATTTGTGCAACGCAAAAGCAATGCCTGAAGTTATGAAACGGCACCTCGTTGTAGTTTTTATACACCTCGTATAAAAAAGTGCGCAGCGTGTTTATGTTGATGGCGAACTTGGAGCAGAAATCCAAATCGAGATACATTTGTTGCAACAATAAAAGCAATTCCTCATCCTCCCACTGTCTGCTATCGAAGGTCGGCATCCTCAGCCATTCTCGTACGGAATCGGAAACTTGAGCATCACTAAAAGACGAAAAAAGTTCCTAGTCTAAAAAATTATTAAAAACACAAATAAAATAACGTTTATGAAACTCACCAAATACTTAGGAAATTCTGCTTGACACGCTGCTTGATTGAATCACTTTTCCGACGATACTGAAGGCGGCGGCAGTCTTCTGTCGATAAGGGTTCGGGTAATTGTTTGTAAAAACCTGTAAGAAATAGGATTTTACTAATGGAACCGGACAAACAAAGAATAGATCCCAAACACTAACAGTGAAAGAAAAAATCTCCAGAATGATACCTAATCGGAAAACATCCTGAGAATGCTTTTTAATGGCGGCAGTATTAAGCATATTTTTATAAAGCTTTTCCCCGTATGGGGCTTTTACGATTTATGACAAGCATTAGGTTTGATAGAATATTCCATACACTGACAAAAAGCGTCTCCAATTCAATTTATTGTCAAGCATTTTAGATGAGGGATAAAATTTATTAAAAGCAATCATCCAGGTAATTCGGAAGCTTGAAAACTAAATTAATTTGAGAATGAGCGCAATGTCCTAATTGGCCGCGCTTCAGTTGCCCTAAATTAGTGATCGATACTTATTATTATTATTTAAATTCGCCTCGGTGTCGTTTCGACTTGACGACTTTCCTAAGCAAATATTTGCGGTGATGGAAATGTTTCCAAGTTTCAAGACTTAAAAAGTAAGAACACGCCTGGCGAACTGAATAAATTTATCGCTTGAAGTCTGATCGCATTTAGAGATATTTTGTTGGAGAGCAAATAGGTTTTAAACGAGATTCGCTTTAAAAGTTTTAATTAAAACGTTTTCAGATACGCGGTTGCAGTTTAATGTGGAATTGCAATAACGCAAACAATATCGCATGCATTCGCGCCGAGCTTCCGAATAACAACTGGTTCTTTAGAAATTTTGCGCCGTTTTAACCACAAGCCCACACCCTTAATGGGTTACCTACTTCCCGAGTAGTTGTTCTAAATGGTTATACACACAACCCTCTAATTTGTATAATGCGGCAAAAAGGCCATTTAAATACCTACTTTGGGTTGGGCAGGAGGGAGAAAGTTTTCAAGTAATGATTAAAAGGCGAAATAGGTAGCTATACCGAAATTAGTGTTGCTCAGAAATAATTACCCAAAGCTCGTTCAAATTCACTAAAGTTCTTGACGTAAAAAAGTGCTGAAAGAAAGCATTGGATTGGAAATTTACCATTCCAGGTCGATAAAGCCAAGGTGTGCCAGACCCATTTCTAAACAATCTGGCCCACCTATGTTTATGTCCATATCAAATTGTGTAAATGTGTCGAGGGCCTTTTTGAATTCATCGTATAAAAGCTTTGACGGCTTCCTGTTAAATTCAAACCTCAAAACGTCACTTGGACCACCCTATATAAATCTCTGGATACGTCCGCATTCTTCCTGCACAGTAGTTTAAAGCACTGTTGGAATACACACTTTCTGCTGTTGTGGTTTTTGAGTTCAATTTTTTAGAAGGAATAGGAACCATATGTTATTTTGTGCCGTATGATATACATTTCGTGATCTTATAGTTTCTGACTTATTTGGCTTCGGCACCTGCAGTACTGATAGGTCATCCTATATATGCATTCCAAATTATTATTAACGTTAAATGTGGTGGTTTATTGGAGATTAAATGTAATGTCGATCATTTTATTTGATTTGCAGGTCAATTGTTTTGTATCAGAATTACTTGATGTTTGGTTTTGTTTGAATAATTGTGTTGTTTATTTTGTTTTGGTAATTGTACATTTAAATTACGTGTTATAAGATTAAGTTTATTCATCTGGAACTATTTCCGTTGTATTTGTAAAAGTTTATCTCATGCTTTTCTCCGGTTTTTGATAAGACGAAAGGGAACAAATTTTAAATAAGCGAGCTGGACGTTAATCGTCACTCTTTTTGGTAGAAGACGTGAATCGATTTTTTAACGATGAAACGTAGCCATATTTGTGCGTATTTTGGAAGACAGTCCCTCTTGCCAGTTATAAAGTTAGTTATGTGTTACAAAAGAGTTAATCTTTACGTGGTATAACAGTGAACGTTAAGTCGAGTAAGCGGAAGCGTGTTTTACGTTTACGAAGGGCTTTCCTAGTACCCCTTAAAGTTTTGCCTCCCATCAAAGGCCCAAAACTATAATTGTAATAACAAAAAAGCCAGTATCGTCTAAATTAAGGTTTAAGAGGCGTCAAACAAATTAAGTTCCGATGCATCACTCAACTTGGTGTTTGTTTTATGTGTTTTAGTGCGTCTGTTTGTTGAAATGCGCAATTTTGACCAGATGATCGCTTGTTGCGTTGTGCTTGTTTTTCATTCAGTTTATTCGATTATTTTATGTCGAACAAGTTTGTTCATCTATAAATGATTGGTTTTGTGATTAATAGAGCACAAATTACGACCAAGATAAGAGTTCTCAACTAAAATTTCGTATCCAGAATGACATCCGGTGTTAATTGAAAATGTGTTTATTTATTCTTTGGAATTTTAGAGAAGGTTAAGGCTGCTGAATTTTTCAAATTAATAAAATTTACGCCAATAACGAGACATAGACTTTTTTACAGGAAAAAAAAGGAATTCTAGGCGTAAAAGTTGCAAAGGTTTTTCGGAAGAAAGGCTGAAGGGATTCAGGATTTCTTACAGGATTAATTACAGTGGTAGGTAGTGGTAATTAGTAGTAGCTTTAAATAAATACGAGATTATTTTAATAAAAAAGAAACTAAAATTTGACAAAAAATTGATCCGAAAGAAATGGGGTTGACGACTATACAAGGAGGGCATTTGGTCGCACTTTTGGAGGTAATAAGAGACTCTCTTGCGCAGTAGAAGAATGAATTCATGAAGAAAATGGATTCGCAGAATCAAAAAATGGATGTGCCGAATGCGGAATTAAAGGCGACAAGAATGGAGATATTTCAGGAGATGGATAAACAAATGGCTGAAATCAAAGAACCTGATCAGATGTAACCAGACCCAGGCCACGTAAAATTCAGTCAGAAGACCAAAAGAACTAACATGAAGCTGAAGAAGATCTTAACCAAGTCGAAGAAATTCAAGATCTGAGGCCAGAAAAAGTTCAAGTTTAGGAGCAGCAAAATTTAGGGGTTGAATTGTTTTATTTCGGTATTTCTGAGAAGACCGGAATTGTGTAACAGAATTGAAATTTTATTTGTTTGGAAAGAAGTTTACTATCGAAATTGATCATCCGGCATTGACGCACCGTTTTGCGAAAAACAGGATTTATCGTTGCAGTTTGATCTTACAAGAGTTTTCTTTTGAAATCAAGCACATGCGGGGAAGGGAATAGGGGGGAAAGTTGTAAAAGAAGGTTGTGAGATTTTGGTAAATCAGATGAAGGAGAATACAGATAAGAGAGAGCCAGGAGGTGGAAGAATTACGGGGTTTAAGGCAGAAAATAGTTGAGCGGTTTCGAGGGTGGAAACTGGAAGATTATTTTTAATAAAAGTAATAGGAGGAGAAGAGTTGTACGTGTATGAGGAGCGGTATTTAGTAGTATCTACTAAAAAGCACAGTTTAGTAACAGAAAACCTCCAGATCTTGTAATGTATGGGATTTTCTCAGAAAGAAACCTTTAAAATTAGATAGGGGAAGTAAAGTTAAAACAAAAATTGAAAAATGTTAGGAAAAAGACGAAGTTTCACGTTAGGGATGATACGATTTTGTCTCTGGCGCGAATGGTTGATGGTATAGTGCGAGATCTAATTAATTTGACTAGGGAATTGTTTTCAAAGAGCTTTTTATGTAATTTTGAGTTTGTGTAAAGTAAATCTGGTAGGTTTTTTTTACGAATGAACACAAATTGCGATCGTTTCGTTTGAATTTGTATTTCAGCATTTGTTTTTCCTTTTAGAAATTTGTTAAACGCGTAATTTTTCGTTTTAATTTTATTTTTGTAAATTATTCAATTTAGATAAGGTGCTAGAAATAAGGCAGATCTGGTGGAATTTGCGTTATTTAAAAAGAGGTGTATCTGGTCGTTGTGATAAGCAGTTTTATTGTTATGCCAAATTTAATGTTAATGACATCTGGTTTTTATGGGCCGTTTATTGAAAAATTCTTAAAGAAGGAGATGGTAGAAGTGGTAGATCCTTTAAAATTGCAATGCGTTTTATCAGGGCTTTTTGCTTGCTCCCTTATTAGTAATGGTCGGAGAGCATCGCGTATTTTGGTACGCTGTTATCCTGGGCTGTCGACCCTATTTGTTAATTAGATATCCTGAAGTGCATTTTGCTAAAAAGGGATAATTGATGATAAAGTGATCCAACGATCTCTACGCCGTTCCCATAGCTATTAATAATTATGTAGGTATAAAAGAGATAACATGTAGTGCCTTTGTTGGAAAGTTGGAAACGTAATTAATCGTTACTGCCATAAAATTTGTAGAACAAGTTAAGTAATCGTGTTGAGAGATTGAAGTTTCAACGTTGCAAATTGATTTAGTAAGTAAATAACCAGGTACCTACAACATGGCAAAACAATAGTAATTTACAGGAAAATGACATAGTACTGGCGAGGAAATATTGGGCCTCGTACTTCAATCTCCGAGTCAAGTAATGTCATTTTAGTGACGAGTTTTGTATTAAATTTTACCCGAAATTGTATTTTAAATAAAGGTTTCATGACGATTTTTGGTTAAAAAAAATTAATAAACGAAATGTGCAAATCGTTTAGAAGTTATTGGAAATGCTGACCCTGCATTTCGACTAACGGTTCGAAGTTCTCATAAACTACCTATTAAAGTTTTACATTCAGTAAAAGCTTCATTCAACGGGAAATTAAATAAGTGCACGTTTTTAAACGATTGTAGCTTTCTTGTTATTGGAACTTGATTAAGACTTTATTTGAAGGCGAAATAGCACTTCTTCGTGATGGGGACTGGGGATGTTAGAATTCGCTCTGTATAAATCAGTATTTTAAAGACAACCAAAATATCTTCTAATTAGACAGAATTTCCCTTAATACGTTTGTCCTTACCTCTGCCAATCCAAACTTTAAGTTAGTTCCTGAAAACTAAGAGTAGGTAAAAGATAAATAGAGGAAAACCTAAAAATAAAGTTATGACGATGTCTAAAACGTCAATTTTGCCCTTTATCCAACTAGACGTATGGGTTGGTTTGGCTTATTTTTCTTGCGAAATAGACAGTCTTATGATATAGGTACTAGACAAGATATAAAGCATCATATTGCCTAATTAATTACATGCTTATATTCTGGAACGTTTAGTCATGGATAATAATTTAAGGTAAGTACCGTACTTCGTGTAAGCGCTGATTTCATGCTTGTTGAATCGCATAA